CAGGCTCAAAGTACATATTTTTTCTATTTAAAAATAATTAAAATTTATAATTTGAAATGCGTATAAGCTTAATTTACTAGTTAGCTAGTGTAGATAAAGATTTCATTACTTAAAAATAGTTCATTGTGCTCCACTCTCCATTAATTGTTTTTTGCACAAATAGTATTTGTAAAATATTAATTATGTTAAAAGAACTCTAAACATATATCTCAAATATATCATATAAACATTTTCACGAATAAAATTAGCATGCACAATTTTTGACCCTTTATTTTGAATCTTCTGATTGTTTCTACATTGTTAGAAATTTAAGAGTGTGTTAAACATAATAGCGCTTATATTTTCTGCATTTTTAATATGGTGCTAAGTTATGTTTAACACGATACTTTGGTTTAATATGATACTCGACACTAAGTTATTGCACGATACTTTGGTTCAATTCGAACTGAAACATGGTTCAATTCGAACTGATGCATGATTAAATTCGAACTGAAACATAGTCCAATTCGAACTGAAATATTGTTAATTTCAGGATCTTATTAAAGTTGTCTCAAATTTGCATCTTATTATAGTTTAAGTATTGATATTATGGTACAAGGTTGAACTGATTTTTTGAGAATGCAATAATGATATAAATAATTTATCATTCTTAAATATTCATTATTTTGTAATGCTTCAGACTTTAGTTAATTATGATCTATAGTTTAATAGTTAATAACACCCTCGCATTTTGTTCATATTTCAGCTTTGTGACATTAACTCTTTCACGTAGAATTATTAAACATATATTTCATACTTACTATTATTTTGTATTAATTTAGGACAAAATAGGGGGAAAACATTATATTTAGCATTTTAATAATTTAAGGTTAATGAAATACAGCATTTTTCTGCGTTAAAGATGAAATCTCCAAAATAATAATCCTTCAAGTTTACACTTACTTACAGTTAGTTAGATCTAAGAGAAACAGTTGTCATCATTGAAATTTTAGTTCACAAAATCAATTATTGATAAATTTTTGAATATGAATGGAGAAAAAAAATGTCAACTACTTTTTTTTTTATTTTAGTACAAATATAATTCCGATAAGCTAACAGATATTTTGAGTAACTATTAGACTGTTTTTTATAATTAAAAAATACAAAAATATATTTTTACTTGTAATTAGAGCGTCAGAAAAAGAGGGACAGCCGTGTCTCATTTGAGTCAAAGGGCTAATTCAAAGGCTGCATTCAATTTCATCCAAAATGTATGAATTCCTCAAAATAATGCCATTTCTCATACTTGCGTGATAATGAGAGCCTGTACAAATGTTATAATATTTAAAAACAATTTAAGAAAATAAAATTTTTAATCAATTCGAGTCATTTCAAATAATTGAACATGCGCTAAAAAATTATTTATTCATTAATTTTTGCGTTACATTTTTTAACAAATAATGCATTAAGATTAAAAATTTTATTAGGAATATCACTTAAAATGAAAAGGTAATTCTTTCTAACAGCACTGTAATTGAAGTGGAAATGATGGAAAGAAAATCTTAAGCGTTCGCATGAAAGCACTTGATCCCAACAGAATTAAAATGTAAGCTACCAAAAAACCATTGGACTCATCTGCTGTAGATAGACTGTTTAAATCGGAGTTCACCCACCACATGATTACGTCAGCTAGACGAAATCTGCGTTTAGTCCCAAAATATCTGCTCCCTAGAAGACAGCTACCGAAAGTCAAATATTCTTTTCCATGCACCCACATTTCCAATCCGTAGTCTAATCTAAATTTCCAACACTCAGATTCATTTGTTTGAAACCTGGATTATTTTGTCATAGTAAGTCTGATTTTCTATTTGAAAAATATGAACCTCATTTAAGCTTCTTTTTATAGTAATTGGAGTTTCTAACTAAAATTATAACCGACGAAAAACTTATGAAGGTTTTGGAAAACTGTGCTTTAAATAGGAACAAAACTTAATTAGAAATGCGTAAATTTAAAATTTTAGCGTTTAAATTGCGATATAATAGTAAATGCAATTTTGATGATTTTTAAATGTTATTAGTTAAATAATATTAGTATTAATATTCTCATTATGATTTTTAAAAATGATAATTTTTTACGAGATTGCTTTTCTTAAAGCTTAAAATTTAAAAATTTGAGACTGCCGACACTGTTGGATGTTTTTAGTCTAAAAATAATTTCTAGTTTGNTAAGTTCAAACTACTAATTACTTTTTTGTAATAAATTTGGTTAATATCAAAAATGACTGGTTATAATATACAAAAACAAAAATACATGATTAATATTGTAAACAACCCATACGTTACAAAGTGTAGAGTGTAGAGTCAGTCTAAGTCTATCAATAAAATTTTAAAATAAATTGCTATTTTTCAGCAAAACATTTAATATAATTAAAAACACAATAAAGATTAATTGATTTTTTGCATTTAAAATATGTTAAATAAATCCTGTCTAGCATATTAAGACGAAATCAATTCCAAAGAATAAATTTATCAGTTTCCAATTTTTGTTATAAATTTTTTATCGATGAATATTTCATATTCTTTTAAGGATATTTTGCATCGAAAAAAATAATTTCTGTGAACTTTAAATGGGGCGCTAAATATTAAGATTAATGAATTAAGGTATTGTTAGTTTAAAAAAAAAACAGTTGTTTATAAAAGAAGAGCATTTTTTTTATTTTATTATCTTTTGCTATTTCTTAAGTTAATGCTTATTTGAACTAACCTTAAAATATTTTCTGTTTGATTAGATAAAAATATTACTTTCAAAATAGCTATATCGATGTTTATATTACTAAGAAAGTAATTTTGTAACAGAAAGTTAAACTTAGTACATTATATTATATTTTCATCTAAATGATAAACAATCATTTACAAATCCTTGGTTCACTTTTAAAACTAAGCTATCAAAAATGATAATTGAATTAAATAGTTGGTTATTGTGTTTGGAAATTTTTTTGGGGGGAGGGGGAGAGGGAGTTAGTTATTCTTCTTCTCGCACTAACACTCTCTCATTTTTTCAACCAATATTCTTTTCTTAACTATTTTTTCTTCACAAAAATGATGAATTTATTAACCTGAACAATTTTTTCATCAAAATAATATTTTTAATGACAACTATTGTTTTATTATGTTTATTATATAATTAACTTTAAATACATTCATATTAGGCTTTATGTATACGGTGTCTGGCAAAAATGGTAATCCATTACTTTGTATACAAATGATTTTTAAAACGGAGAAATTAAATGTTAAGGATTTTTTTGTATATTTCGATTCGATGTTATTATAACTTGTTCGAAACATCAACTTTTTCATAAAAGATGAAATCAATTTTACATGTAGCTAGAGCGAGCGAAAGACGAGCTGAAATTGAAGTACTTTATAACTTCTTTATCGGAGGGAAGTATACTTCCCACCATCGTCATTGATTTGAGAGTTATTGCATCTCAATAGGGTGCCGTGAAAGATTACAGATTTTAGTAGCAAAAAGCACTTTCAACTTAAGTTTATATTCTATTTTAACAAATATAATATTCAAAATAATATTTTACAAATTCTCCTTATGCGTAATAGTGTATTTCGCTTTTTTCTTTTCTAAAATTATTATTATTTCGTTATTATCCTGAATACTATGTACTTCCAGTAAAAATTAATTTTGACCAGTGTTTTTAAATTCAATATGATAGCAAAGGATTGAAATTGCTTAGGAGATTAGTTATGGAAAAATAAACACCAACATTCCCATGCTGACAATAAGTTTTTGCTGTATACAATGCTGTTATCTAATGGAAATCCCAGAAATTTAAATACCTATTTGCAAACATTACTAAGAAATAGTTAGTGCAAAAATGATAACTTAGGAAAAAATATGGCTTATGACTATATTGCCCCAAGATCTTCATATTTTAAATGTCAAAATTGTTCATACTACGAGTGCGTTTATAGTGATTAAAAATGTAAAGATATAAAATCATTTTATTTTCACTTTGCCCTTTTTTTCCTTACATAGTAACTTTTTCAAAAGTATACTTAAAACCTTATTGATCCCTGAGACCTGCTTGCCTGTTATATTCTCATTTGTGTTCTATAGGGTACTGTTATGTATATACTTACTATTATTTTGTATTAATTTAGGACAAAATAGGGGGAAAACATTANAGCTACACACATAAAAAAATAACTTAATTGCAATTTTTAAATGCAAATAGTAAAATTCTAAAAACAGCAACAAAAAAACTATCAGAAAAAAAAGCAAAACAAAATTATAATAAGTATATTTTACTTTTACTCTTCAAACTCACAAAATTCAGTGTCAATTTAATACAGACATAGATAAGCATCCAATAATCATACATAATTTGTAAGGAATTGATATCCAGAAATAAAGATAATAAACATGTCATTGGCAACATGCCAAAAATACAAATAAGCCTAATTGATAAGTTTGTGATTGTGCCAACAATGTGTTAAAAATGAGTTTTCTGTCAAGTTAAATTAATTGTCATTTTAATAAAACTTGTTCTATATTTATATACAGATACCTACCCTTCACCAATTGACAGACTTTAACAACATAAGTATGAGGATGCTCAATAGCAAGAACAAATCCTAAAAATAAAAAAGTTATTATAGAAGTGGTGAGGTCTGCTAATACACAATTTAGAAAATTAAATTGAACACCTGCTTTACAACCAATTTCTTTTTCATAGAATTTTACGCAATATATATATATATATATATATACACACATTTATATAATGAAAATTTTTTATTGGTTATTTGAAATGTATAGTCTAGTAATTGCGTATTATAACAAGTCATCCTCTTTAAAAAATACTTAACACATTATTTATATGTGGCATTCAAACAAAATTCTTTACTATATAGATGACTGATGATAAAAGTACAAGAAATATTGAAATATGAAACTTTTTCTCCCTTTTAAAGCTTTACATGACTATTATTTTTACTCGTATTAGGTGTGTGAGAATGGCCAGTCCAACAAAAGAAGAACTCCCAAAAGTCTCAAGTGCATTCAAAAATGAACTGGAAAAATTTGATGCGGGGAAAATGAAACATGCAGATACTAAAGAAAAAAATCCTTTACCTTCAAAAGAAGGTTAAGTAGAATAAGTCTTTTCAATATACCTTTTCTTCCGAATTAATGTTGTTATAATAACAAACAATACTTTTTCTGTTTGAAGTAAAATAGTTTATTGGAAATTATATTTATTATAACATTTTGCTATGAATTGAATTTGCTCCCATCAGAAAATTTTCTTTAATCATTAGAACTAATCAGAATTGTAACCTCAGGAATAAGCTACAATCGTAATCTGAAAATATACAGAGTATTTCGCAATCACCACCCTTTAAATACATTTTTAAAACCTTGGTCTAAATTAATTATTTTACTCTTTGAGAATCGCACTTTAATATATAAGTGGAAAACATAAAGAGAAAAGGGATCAAAAATGTAGTATCATATTTGATTGCTGCAGGTAGCTGAGATAAAGGGAAAAGCTATTGGTAAAAAGGCCTTTAAATTTCGCACGGCACTTAAACTGGTTTCAACGTTTTTAATCTCGGATTAATTAATTGTAATTTATTAGATTTTGATGAGGTTTTAGTTTTTTCCTCTCTAAAATTTTAGCTTGCGTGCATAGTTCTTTTTACTTCATTTTTGACAAAGTTTTTAAAAATGAATGAGGGTGGTGTTTACGAAACAACGCATAGATGTTAGCTTTCATGTACATCTTGTACACGTGGAAAAAATAAGCATTTGAGAATTGCATAAGCTACATCACGATAGATTGGGATGCTTTATAAGTGGAATTAATAAGTTCAAACTACTAATTACTTTTTTGTAATAAATTTGGTTAATATCAAAAATGACTGGTTATAATATACAAAAACAAAAATACATGATTAATATTGTAAAATATTCGAAATTTCATAAACTTTTTTACGAAACTTAATATTATTACTCTTCCTAACATATCAGTAAATTTGCCTTATTTATGTTAAATGAATTATTATAACTAGTTATTTTGAATTTTAATATAAACAATAAGAATAATTTGTTAAAGTTATTAAGCAATAAGCTGTAATAAACAGTTGGAATAATGAAACAAATTTAATGAATTACATCATTATATTAAATCTTGTTAGATATTAAGCAAAATGATCTATAGAAATAATTAAATTTTGAATATTTTATCATAATTACCTACCCGACTGTTAGGGTTACAATTTATAAAACTAGTTATTTTGCAAATCAACCAACTGATCAAATGAATAATTTGCGTAAAGATAACATATATTTTATTTCGCTTCAACGAAACCTATCACAATTTTTTCCGGTAAAGATGATGAAGCTTATTTATTTTTTTAATTTTATTCATTTTATTTATTTTATTCACAAAAATCGTTATTCTGATAATGTTAGTTTTTGATCAGGGACAATAAATGAAAGTTTTGTTTTTATTACTCATATCTGTAATGAAACATTCGCTATGTTTTACAAAATAGTTTTCTCTGGATGTGAAAAATTCTGAAGATAAAAGAAAAATTAATCCATAATTTATTAAAATAAAAAATTCCTTAAATTGGCTTTTAAAATATTTGATAAAAATACACATTATTTTATAATTAATCGAAGTATAATCGTAATAATTAAAATGACAATATTTACTCGTTCAATGATATTCCTCACTTTTCTTAGATACTAATTATAATTTCAGCAGCAAATTTATGTATTTAAGTTTTCTTTTACACAAAAATCTGATAAGTATTGTTTTTGTTTTGTTAATGTAATCAGATGTTTTACAAGAAAAACAACATCATGAACTGCTAACAGGTGTATCAACATTCAACAAAGCCAAACTAAAACGCACCAACACAAAGGAGAAGATTGTTTTACCGACCAAAGAAGGTTGATTCTAAAAATATCTGCCTGATTTCGATAACACGAAACTTCAACAAATACTAATTGCAAATAAAGGCTGCGCATTAAATAAACTTCTTCAAATTCTATTAACAACTTACTAGTGCTTTCAATGTCTGCTCATTTTCAAATTTTTAGAGCTCATTCTTGACATAATATGTTAATCGAAAGCGAATTCTTCAATGCTTAATGATCTGCAATAGTGTTAACTGCAATCTGCAATGGTGATTAACTGCTTTAGTTTTAATAGAAACTCACAAAATGCTTAATGATTTTTAATAGCTTTGATTAAATGCTTTGATTGATATTTCATTATAGCTTAAGATTAATAGTTATTTTAATTAATTTTAGATTATTAGATGCAAAATCTACTAACTGTATTTTAGATAAAAGGTGGGGAAAAAAACATAACAAACTATATTACGAAGCGTGTTAACAGGAATTTTCAGGAAATTAAAATATCAAGCTAATGAATAAAGTATCCCATTATTATAGAGATTTAGCACTTTAACGTAATATCTCTGGTGATCGTGAATAAAGGTTTTGCGTAGCGAGGTAGCTACAGAACAAACTCGGTTCTCTTCACAGCATGTGCAGAATAAATGTGAACGTGGGAGATGCTACTTATGCAATACTCTTTGTAAATAGAATACTATCGTTCAATAGAAAAATCAACTTAGGCGTCAAAAATTCAATATCGAGATTTTAATATATTTGGCATTTAGCACATAAGCTACATATTTCAAAATGATTTGTTTTTTCAAAAATAAATTTTTCTCTATCAGTTTTCGCGAATTCTATTTCATCGTGGATTGTGTTAACAATGGAAAGAAAATAGTTATCAAGTAAGTTAATAGTTATAGAGCATGTCACGATGTAGCGATGTTTTTTCAATTGTACTGCACATTTAAAATTATTTTTGTAATAGCAAGTTTAAGAAAGCTCAATATACACGCAAGTGTTTTCAAAGCTGCTAGTGAACACAAAATGTATAAGGTATTTATTTCATCCTCCCCCCCAAATGAAATGATTACCATCAATTATGAAATGAATTATTTAATGTGGGAGGACCACAAAAACAATCGGTCCATCGACCAACAAATTAAATATGCTAGTAAAAATGGTACAAAGTGGTAAAAAGCACGAAGTGGATGAAAACTTATCGTTAAACATGCGGTTGAAAGCCCGAACAATCAATGTAGGTTTCGGCGATAAAAAACAACTACAAAAGGGATTACAAACTTATGCACAACAAAAAAATTATTTTATTAATTATTTTAACAGTTATTCAAAGTGGCATCCACTGACGTCATTGCACAGTCTACAACAACATAAAAATGATTCCCGGACGTATTTGAAGAAGCCAAACGTGCTTTTGATGTCTGCCTAGCACCTTTCTTCTCCTCTAGATTTAGAGCCTGACCGAGTTTTTCGTGATTTTCACGCTCTCAACGTGGTTTGCAACTATATCACAGTAAAAGCTCGTTATAACGACAATTCACAATAGCAGAAGGTATAAACGTTACACCGAGCTTGTCGTTATAAGCAAATATACATATTTAATATTAAAATAGTAATAAAAAATATCAATTGCAATGGTATGCAATAAACTTAGAAGTCATTAATAACACTGAATGTTCATTTCAATAATAAGATGCTAAGAAAAAAATAAAGGCCATGGTGGGTATGTGGTCAACAAATGTATGCGGTTGGTATACGAATATCTCTGACAAACGTTGCAGCAGTCCTAAAATGAAAAAAGATGTTCTTTTATTTTGTTATGAGAAATATAACAGCCTTCATTCATGCATGTTTGCTATATGAATATTAAAGATTGAGATAGTAAAAAAGAAATATGGTATAATGATGCTCGATTTTTTTACTTTTCTGTATTGATACTAGATATTAACAAAAAATCTATTCCATTTCGTCCCATTTTATATAATATATATAATAATATGCACTTAAAGAGCAGAAAAATGTATTATTTTCAACAAAAAAATAAATAAATAAAAATTGTCGCAATAGTTGAAGGTTAGAAAATTCTTAATTCGTTATAAACAAGCAATTTTTTAAACTTTAAAAATTTTTTAATAATTTTTTTGTATTATATGGTTTTTTGGGAATTTTTCGTATTAACGGTGTGCCAGAGTCGTTATATCGAAATTTTACTGTGTATATACTTTTTTCACTATGCTACAAACCACACCTGCAATCCAAACATAGAAGAATTTTATTTTTTTCACTTCTGTTCTAAACACGAAATGTGACGCTCGACATGACTTTTTTTTTTATTGTAAAAATTTATTTTTAATTTTTTAATTTACATGATCCTTTTTTGTGAAGTTGTGTGGAAAAACGGGCATGACTATAAATTTCAATTTTTCACCTACAACGTATTTTATGGACGATAACTTTAAAAATTTCAGTGGTGAGTTTTTCACAGTGAAGTCACACATTTAAAATTCTTAATGTACTGTGTGTCGCGTCATTCTGAAGCAATCTATCACTGAAATTTTTTTCTAGAGCTTGTAAATTATGCTTGTTTCTAAGCATGAAAAGTGTAAGCGTCGTTAAATTCTTTAGATCAATTAGGATAACCAATATTATTTTTTAATTTTTTGCAAAAACTGTGATTTTTTCCTTTTCCTTTTGAAGTATATGAATTTTTTTCCAAAAAGGTTACTGTTGATTTAAAGAAAACCCATGCATGAATATTGTATTTTAAATTTCAATTATTTATTTATTTGTGTTGAAGTTCATAACTTTTAAGTTATATTTATATTTATGCATGAAAGCGTAAATGTGTTTTTTTAGTATATTAGAACATTATTGTTAAATTTATCTGTATTCCACTTACTAAAGTGTGCACTGTTATCTGCCAGTGCTGACGCAAGAAAAAGTGTATGAAAGAAAGCAACAATGCCTACAGAATCTAGTTGGTTTTGATCGAAGTAAATTGAAGAAAACTGTTACAGTAGAAAAAAATTTTCTTCCAACCAAAGAAGGTTTCATATTTTAATATATTATCAGCATGTTTGCTCATAACAGGATTGATGCACGTTGAAAGTAACAAAATTTTTACCTGTATAAATTATACAGTACTAATAACTCACTATTTTATCCATGCGTTTAATATTTTTATCCTAGTAGAAATTCCCGAATTATTGACTCATTTTATTATGAGAGCTTTAATTCATTTTTTTTTTCCTACAGGGTGTCCCAAAATCTACGCAAGCAATAATTTTGAGAGGCATTAAAAAGTATGCACTTTAGGGTTGTGTATGGAATATCTTATACGTAAATGGTTTCCACTGTAAAATGGAAACACAGGTTTTAAATTAAAAATTTGCTCTTCGTTTTAATTCATAAATTATGCACCATGGATGGCTGACCGTGTGAAGCTAAGTGCAGATGGCGCTGATGATCAAAATTAGTCGTAAGACTTCTGAGTTACTACTTTTGACTGATTTTTACGCCTGAGCTTGAAAAAAAGCGTCATTCAATATTATTATACTTGTAGTGTTTTCAATATAACGCGTTCTTTTAATTTAACTTTTAACGAAACAAACAACAAATGTATTTGGAAGATTCCGTAAGCTTGCTATGATGCTAACCAAAGGTAAAACAAACGGTACTATATTTGTGTAAAAACACAAATATACCCAAATAAGAAATGACACTCAAAACACGGCAAACCTTGCACTTTATTTATGCAGTGATATTAATTTTGTTAAATATGTTTTAGGCTCATGACTTGTTAAAATTTATAAATTACAGTAAACTCTTATGAATGGTAAAATTACGTGTAAATTTAAACTCAAAACACAATAATAAAACTTCCTAGAACATTAAGCCTCGTAAGCATGACATAAGCGGAGGGATACACCGGAAGTTTTCTAAATTTCTTCTGGTTTCAAGAAGCTTGTCATTGTTTACATTCCGTTAACCATCTATAAGGTTACGTATGGAACAGCGTATGGAGTAAATGATTTCCTCTGTTTTGCTGGTACATGCAGACTAAAATTGCTGAAATTTTCAGTGGCCATCTTGCATAAATGTGGTTGAATTTACCAGACAGCACTAAATTTCTACATTTAAGGCTTGACTGGTAGTGGGTTTGTTGGCATCCCACATTAAATTGCATGATCTGGGCGGAAATTCTGATTTTAACCGTGGAAACGCGTTTTTCCTCGCGTTTTTCTAATTTTTAATGACCCTAAACTGTCATCTTTTTCTTCTTTCGTTGGTGACAATTTATTACAACTATTAAACAGAATTGAAAAGTTGTGTGAATTTTGGAACACCCTTTATCAACATTAACAAATTTTAACCAGGGATTTTGCAATTCATTCCTTTTTTTGTAATAACTAGGTCAAACAAATAATTTTTGCTCTACTCTTATAAAATTTACCCATAATTTTTTTAATGACTAAAGAATTTCTTCAATAATAATTTGCATCTTTAAATTTATTTGTTAATGTTGGTATAACATGAGATCCTACTAATATGAATTACTTTGTCATTTTTATTTAATACGTATTATTATTATGCATGACGTTTTATTAATATGTTGCATAAAGCTTTTCATTTACTAACAAACATGGCAAACTTACTTTCTTTCCCATCTAATACAGTAATTGATCAAGAGAAAGCAAATCAAGGTTATGGTGCAATTCTCCAAGGTATTGAATCATTTGATACTGCCAAACTAAAACCAACCGAGACTCAAGAAAAAAATCCTTTGCCAACAAAAGAAGGTTCTTTAACTTTTTTCTATTTAAATTAAAATTTATATTTGTATAGCAGCACATAAATCACTATTTTAACCAGTTAAACGTGTTTGGTATGTATAATCATATGGTCAAATCTCTATTGCAGTGCGTATATAATTGTCATAAAAAATGGAAAATTACCATTGACTATAAAAACTCAAAATTTCAATAAAATACAAAATAGCATTAGTTGGTGATAAGTTTCCTTCATGTTTTCAATCGAACTGCTAAGTATTTTATATTGCAGGTGTGCGATAAGCGTTGATTTGCAGAGAAATTGCTTAAACAATTAGCAGAGCAAATACTAGGCGTTTGAGTCGCTGAGGCTCAGGGGATAGAGCACTCGCCTACCAATGAAGTGACCCAGGTTCGAATCCTTGCGGTGGCTGGTTGATACGAATTCTGATTCCTTTTCACAACAACCACTGCGTTGACATAAAATATCCTCATTAATAGACGGATCATGGATTAGAATTCCCTTGTNTTAATATGTTGCATAAAGCTTTTCATTTACTAACAAACATGGCAAACTTACTTTCTTTCCCATCTAATACAGTAATTGATCAAGAGAAAGCAAATCAAGGTTATGGTGCAATTCTCCAAGGTATTGAATCATTTGATACTGCCAAACTAAAACCAACCGAGACTCAAGAAAAAAATCCTTTGCCAACAAAAGAAGGTTCTTTAAATTTTTCTATTTGAATTAAAATTTCTATTTGTATAGCAGCACATAAAACAATATTTTAACCAGTTAAGCGTGTATAATCGTATGGTCAAATCTCCATTGCAGAGCATATATAATTGTCATAAAAAATGGAAAATTACCATTGATTATAAAAACTCAAAATTTCAATAAAATACGAAATAACATTATTTGGTCATATTCCTTTATGTTTTCAATCGAACTGCTAAGTATTTTATATTGCGGATGCGCGATGAGCATTGATTTGCTGAGAAATTGCTTAAGCAATTAGCAGAGCTAATACTGGCCGTTTAAGTCGCGGTGGCTCAGGGGATAGAGCAATCGCCTCCCAATGAAGTGACCCTGGTTCGAATCCTTGCTGTGGCTGGTTGATACGAATTCTGCTTCCTTTTCACAACAACCATTGTGCTGACATAAAATATCCTCATTAATAGACGGGTCATGAGTTGTCATCGGTCTAACCGTGGGAAGTTTTCATGGCTTTCCTCACCATGTAACGCAAATGCGGGTTAGTTCCATCAAAAACACCTCCGCAAAATCTAGTTTGTCCCAACGCTTGACCAAGGAGTTTCCTTGTCTTTCGGATTGGTTTCAGAATTACAAGGCTGCAGAGTTGAACATTAATAGTCGTAAACTTAGAATTGGGTCGGTTGTTCAACGCTGATTATAAAATTAAATAAAATACTGACCTTTTGCTCAACGAGAATTGAATAGAAGAATCCGAACCATTCGATTCAAAAGCTCTCCCTTCCTCGCTTACGCCTGGTATTATTCTTATACTATATCTCTTGTATTTTATTATTATTATTATTTTAATTTTTAAACAAGTTTCTAATAACGGTTATCTTTTCAGAGCTGAATTGTTAATTTTTTATTAAGTAAAACTTTTATAATTTTACGTTTTTCGTAAGATTTATAATAGGCCCATTTGCTCCGCGTTTGACGAGTATAATGCACGTCATAGCTTGAATTTTATTCTGCATCCTGTAGGGAAAGTCAATAATTAAATTCCACGCTTAACTGGTTAAGAAAAATCAATATGAGTATTTTCAAACTTAGAAAGAATTTAGTTAGATTTTCTTTTTCTTTATAGTTTGCACGAAGCATGACTAACAAATATTTTTACTAGTAACATTACATAATGTAATATTTTATGTGTATTTAAAAATATTAATTGTTTAGAACAAATTCAAGACTTGTAGTTCAAAAGGTTTAACTAAGTGTCAAATGTTTGTTTCCAGGAAACTGATAACCTGTATATAAAGAAATACAGTGCGCACACATATTATGCACTAAACGATATTCACATATTATGCATTAAACGATAGGTTCACCTGCAGTATTCAAAAATTCCAATTCTCAATTGACAATTTTGGCTCATATAATTAAGCTATAAGTGTTTAAGTATTAAGGATGCAATTTGTTAAAGATAAAAAATTCATTTTATTATTTTCGTAATTTTGCATTTTAACAACATTTCAAAAAGATGGACATGCTTTTATAAATATTTGCACTCAAACGTCGGTTAACACACAATTTGCAATAATATCATAGTTTAATCTTATTGCGGATTACGCTGGTTACTGTGGTGCTAAAATTGATTTCGATGGTTTTTTAATAGGAATGTAATGTTCACCTATTTGCAATCCATTGAAATTTTTGGTGGTATTAAATTGAATGCAAATGGTATTGCTGTCTGTTGCTGGTAGAGAAGTTGGAAAGTGATGTATGTCAAAAAAAACAAACAGGGAAAGTCAAATAGAGTAATAGCTATACTTTTCAAATAAGGTCAAAATATTTTTACCATGAATATCGGGAGAACTACGAACAAAGAAATAAAATTTAAAAAAAAAATTTCCTTTTTTTTTTTTTTTTTGGTAGACGATATGCACTATAAGTTTAGGATTGAGTTGAACCTATGGTTTGAGGACATAAAGCTTAGATTTAGAGAGATTTTGCAAAGCGTTACGGTTCCCTCTAACGCTGATTGAGCTTCACAGCGCATGCGCAAAAAGTTCTCCGCAAATCACAGTGTCATTAAAAGGGAGAAAATGAGGTTAGTACTACAGTTAACGCAAGACAAACCCTATGCAAAATCTCTCTATTGGCTATTTTGCGACGACGCAAACGACATTATGTAGCTGTCAACTCCAGGTTAAATGATATACCAGTGCTATAAACTAGGTTAAGAGCGGAAAAGAGCATTGGTGCACCTGAGGGTCGTGTTCACTTAAAGAAGGTAAACAATTTAAAGGTGTATTAAATTCTTTATTAAAAAAAAAAGATACACAGTAAAAAGTTTTCACTTATCTGAACACCAAAAATGGTGCCAACTACTTTACCCCAAAGTGATGTTCCCCTGCACCAAAACTCAAGAATAGTTCCTGGTGCTGTGAAACACCTAAAATGATCTTTTACACCTCTTGGTGTAAAGTAGCCGCCACCAACCACCATATTTGTTATTAAGTAACACTAAAATTCATAATTACAATAAGATATGATACACATAAGAATTAGTAAAGTTATTTTTACGAGACAACATAAAGTAAGAACCAATAATTGAGGTTGTATACACATATCCTTATTCTTAAAATAAAATGAGTTTTTAAATCAAACATACGAGAAGCAGAAAGAATATTAAGACGAATTTGATCTAGGCTAAACAGAGCAGGAGAGGATAGAAATTATACATTATAAAATTATTTAATGAAGTTTATACAAAATTGAAATTAAAATATAAATATCTTTATTACACAATTAAAAACATACATACATATTTCTGACGGCGAACTTTAGTTTCTGCAGTTAAAAAGCAACATTGAAAACAGCCGTAATCACTGACCATCAACTCGTTATCTATTGTAAGTGACGCAATCAAAAACCTCCAATATTGGTGTTTTCAGATGCGAAAATGTTTAACGTATGGTATCAAATTTGTAGAAATATTACACTACAGTTTTTACAGTTTACCTTGCGATTCTGCTATGACACTTTACTTTACCCAAGAAAATTTAGCTTTAAAATATGTATTGATCAGAAAATAAAAATACCGATAGCAAAAATAATAGAAGATCCCATTAATGAAAAAATAATTATACCAATTTGAACTACAAATGTAGTTTCTTCCCTATTAATAGCAGTCTCTTTTGAAATTCACTTTTTTGTTCTATATTTGAACTCATAAAAATAGATTTCATTAATTCAGTTTCACATTTGATTCATGTGATATTTGATTAACTGTTGCATATCTTTCGAAAAAAATTTACTGTTTAACTTAGTATATAATATCATATCAGGAATTATGAGAGTAATTTAAAATGTCTGTCAAAAATGAAGTAAAAAACTCTATGCTCATTAGAAGCCTTGAACTTTTTAAAGCGAGGAAAAAATACAAGCATTGTCAAAATCCAACAGATCAATTTTTGAGGAAGACGGAATAAAAAACACCATAATCAGTTTGATTGCGCTCTCCTCCCAATCAAGTGACCGAAGTTCGAATCCCAATAATGGCTGGTCGATTCGAATTTCTGGCTCGCACCGACCACAGTGCTGATATAAAATATCTTCAGTAGTTAGATTCCCCTCGCTGCCTTGCTTTCCGTGGGAGGTTTTCGTGGTTTCCTTTTCATGCAACACAAGTGCGGATTAGTTCTACCAAAAAGTCAGTCAAAGGTCTTATGTCACTGCTTGATTCTGTAATTCCCTTGTCTTCTGGGTTGAGTTCAACAGAGTTGAACATTGATAGACGTTAACCCAAACTCGGCTGTTCAACACCAGTTATAAAATAAAATATAATCAGTTTGATTTATTAATTGGAACTCGAAGGTGTTTATAAAAATTTCTTTCAGCTCCTTTTTCTTTCCAGTGGCAAACAGACAGGTTTTGATGTTTTTAATATCTCCTTCCTAGTTAATGATGCTAGTTTTAATAGCAGTTTTTCTTTTTCTTACTTAATATATGACTCTTAATGTGCACAATTTTATATTTCACTCTAAATGTAACCTTTCATTTGAAAGAGAAAACTTTATGCTCTCACTTTTCGTCTTAGTGTACAGACTAGTGCTAAGTCTGATGGCATCACGTTCATATGCTCGTATGGTGCCAAAGAAGGAAATCAGGACAACATTTTCGGAAAAATCAGGATTTAGGAAAAATTATTTAAAAAAAAATCAGGACAATTTTTAGATCAGTAGACATATACCAGACTACTTTTAAATAAGACAAGAAAAATAATAATTTGCTCTACTTAAGTATAATATAGGCAAATTTTATCCCAAAAGAATTATAAAATATTCTGTACACCAAAAATTTTCTTCATTTGTTCTTGAGTTCAAGACTTCCTTAATCAAATAAATTTAAACTGGGGGGTTTTAATAATCTCGTAACAGAAACACAGTAAATATAACTAACACTTTTTTTTGTTGCAAATAAAGTAATTCAGTGAATTATCCTTAAACTCATCATTTAAAAATTCTATATGATTGCTGTATTGTTGATTGGATTCAAAATCAGATGAAACAGATGAATCAATAATTGTGAAACTCCAGATCTCTTTTCCACAATATTTGCATTTGCTAAAAATAATAAATAAGCGTATGACCCCTGAATTCCTCACCATAAAAATTTTATAATGCAAATTAGTTAAGTTTCCTACTTCATAAAATGACTGATTTTCCAAAAATTTTGAAACAATGAATCGTGTTGGTGAGGCTATTTGTCTAAAACATGTATATAACCATCTCCAGGTTTGAACTGCAAAATTTTGCGGTTTTTATAAATTATTAATTAAAGCAACATAATATTAATTAAATCAAAAATCAAAATCTTTCGATTTTCAAGTTAAGAATTTTAAAATCAGCATTTTTATTTGTAGAAAGTCGGATGTTCTGTAGACACCGAAAAAATCAGGAATATCAGGACAAAAAGCTAAAAATAAGGATATATTAGGACAAAGTATTTTTCAGCAGGAATATAAGGACAACTTCGAACCTTGTGTACAAAATTTATCACTAAGTTGGCCAGAAATTATTGATCTGGCAAAAACAAAATAAAATTTAAAAAACAATTTAGTGAATATTTATGAAACCAGGACCAAACGTACAAAAAAAATAAATAATTATATTTGCTCGTTAAAAAAAGTATAGTTGAAAAACACATTAAAATACTTTTCTTTTGAATAATTCAACAATGCGAATGGTTTAGTACATTTCGATTAATTAACGACTGATTTATTCAAATTTTCGAAAACTTTAGAACTCTTAATATTTTTTATAAAAACTTTCGTTCATCAAGAGTTTTTCATATTCAAATTTCCTACTAAAACTGATGATAATTTATAAATTATTACCCATTGAAACTCATTAATTTAAATTTTTGTTATCAAAAATAATACCCCAAATTACTTTTCAATTTTTATTACAGAAATTCAATTTATTGACATTGTTGTACCTAAATAATACATTTATAAGCAATTGATATTTTGAAATAACTTCTAGTCATCGATTTATTTACATCGTTGTACCTGAATAATACATTTATAAGAAAGTGATATTTTGAAATTTCTTCTAGTCTTGATTTATTCACGTTGCTGTTACTAAATTATACATTTATAAATAATTGATACTTTTAAATTTCTTCTAGTCATCGCTCAAGAAAAAGGTGCTGCTTAAGTGATGGATGTTTTTCAATTGTGATTGTCTTCAATGGACTCTCTCTGTTTGCTGTCAAACCATCTTATTCTAGTTAGACTCGCAATGTGGCCGTCTTTGAAAAAACGTGGCAATATTGCTTTAATTTTCTCAATGTGTCATGACAATAATGGCTAAAGCTAATAACAATTCTCATGTTTTTCAATAAGCTATCATATCATATATTCCTATAGTCAGTCCTTTTTATAGACAAATTTTTATAATATATTTATGATTAGCTTTTGTATCTCTTTCTTAGTCACTGGAATTTTTAAAGTTACATATTCAGTGAATTATTCATAAGTATGTTTGATAAGAATTTTTAATACTATACTTAAAATCGGTGATAATTTTGTTATACTTCAACTACAACTTGTTCTTAAATGGAAAGTTTGTATTTGTTATAAAACGTGCATATCATGCATATTATTTGTACTTAAATGAACAATGCATAATTTACATTTCATCAAAGTGTTTCGAATTCTATAATTGCAAATAATTAAAAATGCTCATTTTTAAATAAATACTTTTATTTATAATGTAATATTTTCTTTGTTTACAACATAATGTTCATTTCAAAAAGTAGTACAAGTTATATTTTCATTACCATTTGTTACAAAAAATTAGAAAATTATTGCATCTAGTTCTTTAAAAACATTGCGTTGCAAAAACTCATACCCAGACAGCATTTCTGCTGAGTCTTACGTAAAATGATAACCTGTGTCCGCATATTGCCCTTTTAACACACACCATCTTTTGGAAACGCCCCTTTCCACCATTCATAACTTTTAGATAATTTTAGGACCATCAATTAAATTTTCAGTTAAGAAAAAGGCTAATTATAATCATTAAATTTCTTCGGAGAAGCTAGAAAAGTAAAAGTTCTAAAACATGAACAGTTAAACTGTATAAGATTTTCCCTCTTAAATCATAAAAAAATTAAATTAAAAATAATCGTTTTAATTTTTCTGATTTTATTACAAGTATTTTCCTCAAATTTCAGCTTCCTTTACCTTTTTCAAATATTAAAAATATATATACGCAATTCGGGAAAAAAGCAGATGAGGGGTCCTGAAGCTCATGCGACATAGCTCAAGAGATTCACTCCACGAGGTCCTGGCCTCTCACCCACTTTAGCCAATGTAGTAAAACAACTGTTCACTTGGGAAGATGGTAAAAAAAGTCTCAGTGAAAAGGATCCATTTAAAAAAAAGGGTTGGGTAAAATACGTCCCTGAAAGAAAAAAAAGGTACCTTAACAGGAAAAATTCTGTAGAATGATCTGCGGATGTGATAAGAAAAATTTCATGTTGAGCCGAACTTACTTCTTTTCGTTCTTTTTTTATAATAGAGGAGAATTATTTTAATTCCTTTAAAAAAAATTGCAAAAAAATTATTTTTGATTTTAAATAATTTTTTTATTGTTTTTTTTAAAAGCATGAACTCTTTTTAATTTTTTTTAAATGGAAGATGTTATTTTTTTCAATAACTTTTTGCTTAGATGTTATTGATGAGATATGTTATTATTTTTATAAAATTAAATTTTTTAATTTATTAATTTAAAAATAGATTTTCAAATATTTTTTCATATTAATGAAACGGCGAAAAGGCGCTCCAATCTCATTTAAAATATTTTCCCCCATACTAGTACTTTTTTTCCTACATTCACTCACGTGCACCTTGTTGTTAGAATGTTAGGAAGAAATCTCTGTGAAAGGACATCCTACCTCTCTCAATCAAACACTTAATACAGATTTTAGATTTTTTTTCGCCTCTTGCGCTCCTTATAAGAATTTTAAAAGTAAAAATTATCCTTTTATCTCAAGGATGGCCAAATACATTCTCACTTGATATGAGTTTGTGGTGTAACTACCACTACAAATATTAAATACCAAATCACTAGTATATAAGACATGTTAACTTGATTCTATCTTAAAGTACTTTTTGATAGATGAAGGTTGACACAGTCAAAAATTAAATCCTCACAATGGTGATCTGCGGATGTGATAAGAACAGGGTGCGTAGCCAAATTATTCAACAAAAAATAAGCACCTTTTAAGCGCTTTTCAAGCACTCAAAAAATATTTTTAAACACTTTAAAAAAAATATCATGATTAGGCAGGGTTGGAAAGTTTTTGACAATTGACTGTTTTACCTTGTTTTAACCGTCATGTCAAAACAAAAACCTTTTGGCATTGTTTTTGACAATTGTCAAAAATCATGAAATTTTGAATCGTGTAAAACGAATGGCGTTTTCATACGCCACGGACTGACAGTACGCCGAAATAGATTGTGGTTGAATTAATTGTGAAAACGTTGAGTAGAACAATGCGAACATAATTCGTAGCGAAAATCAACATAGTAAAGGAAAAATCTCATTTTGAAAAAGGAAAAATTAAGCACTTTTTAGAAACACCCAATGAAAAAAGCACCTTCAAGGGCTTTTAAAAACGAAAATAAGCACCCTTAAGCAATTTTTTTAAAAACGCTACTGCATCCTGAAGAACTGGCGAATATTGATGGATGATCCACATTAAACAGTTGATTTGCTTAAAAAAAATAAACAGCTTAAAAAAAAAAAATCCGGTGAAGTAAATAAAGTCTCATGATCATTAAACAAAAATTAAGAATAATAACAACAACAAAAAATCGCTAGTATATAAGACACGTTAACTTGATTCTAGTATGATGTACCATTTGATAGATGAAGGTTGACATAGTCTAAGATTAAACTTCCCCACAAGTTCATACTTACATTTTGTCTTGATTTTAGACTGCACGATTTTAAATCTCAAAATAAAGGTGCATTTTCTAAGATATTTTGACATGCAGTGGTGTGGAAAAATTACTTTAAAAAAATAAATAAGAATAATTTACATTTTGTGACCACTTAAAAACATTTCTTTTTAAACGTTGATTGACCTAAATGGAAAGTAAAAAAACTACTAAATATTGTGCCTTTTATCTAGTTGGACAGGACGCGATATTCAACGTTACTGATAAATATAACTTTCATGCCTGTCTACTCCATCTGCAAGCTAATATTATGGTAGTTAGCTGATTTCTGCTTAGCTGTATTTCAACTCTATTACTAATTTTTTATCTGGTTAAAAGTGGTAGAAACAATGCAAGAAAATTTAAATACTTTTGATTTAGTTCTTTTTTAAAAGCAACTTATTTAACGGAGGCGGAACTAAAATTTTAATTTGAAACGATTAACTATGAGTGGAATTATTTTTTATTAGAAATTAGCTTTAAAAACGCCTCTAATTAATCTCCCTTTTACCTAAGATTAAGTATAGAGGGGATTTTAAGTGGTTATAACCATGGTTTGAATAAATATCGGCTACAACATGAACAAAACATTCGTCTCAAATATTCGTCATTTCACGAATTTTTCTGTTTCACTTTTCTCGACTTTATCCGTGTTCACAGTACCGTACCTTTCGGTTTCAAAAATGCGACAAATCAACAATAACCTCTGGGGTAGTCAAGATTTACCTCAATCAACAGTTTGCTGTTGATCAGCAGCAAAATTCGAATTTGATCTCGTCAGTGTATGTCCAATCGATGGCTCTGCAATCTTTCGCCATATAACCTGGAATGACAATGCAGGTAAAATCGACACAGTAGGGAAGTAACCCTTTCTTCAAATTGATCATTTTGACAATTGAAAATCAGTAATCAGGTACTCTAAAAGCTATTTCTATAATATCCGGATAATTTAATGCTAGTTACTATTCAATTAACGCTTAAAATTTGGATTCGCCTAAAAAAAGGGCGTGGCTGCGAGTGACGTCAATTCTGTATAAACATCTACGTGAAAAGTCTCGGCGTATTGAAAGTGAGCAAGAAATCACTAATTCCAATCACTTTTCTGATTTTTTTAAACCTTTAAAATTGAATGACGGATTTGCCAAAAAACAATCAGTCACTTTTCCATCTGTTTCTGTTAGTGTCAAATTTTATAAAATATACAAAAATTACACAGTTTCTAAAAGCAGAGAAATAATGATATGGCTTGTTGTTACCTTTTGCGCCTTCATTAGTTGAACTACTGGTTTTATTTAAATGTAATTTTCTTTAATGTGATTTGAATTTCCGGTATCTTCCACATGGATTCCGTACTTCTGCAAATGATACGCTGAAAATGATTTGGAAATTATAAGCAATATAAAAACTTCACACCATCATTTCCTCATAGTAACAAAATTATTGACAAGTGATAAATGTAAGGGGGAAGTGGGGTCCCCATTTCAGGAGGTCATTTTTAAAGAATCAGCTAGAATGAGGTAACCGCTCCTAATATCCGTAAGAATGAGGTAATTCGCTATATATCAGTAAGATTTTTGTTAAATACCAAGACATTATGACTTATGCTGTTAATGGCCATAATGATTGCTACTGAGTAAACCGTGAACAAAGTAAGAAAAAGGAAAAACCATACAAAATTTGATTAATCATTGTCCTCTAGAAATACAATAAAAATCACTTATAATTCTTTATTATATGAACTAAGTAAATCAAGTTATTATATTTTAAAAATGCTATTTTCATATGTACGAGTATATATCTGCAATTCTTAGTGCATTAGAAATTTTAACATTGCACAAATCAATGAAAGAATTTATTATTTCAAAATTATCCTTATCTCTTTAAGGGGTTACAAGAGAGGATTAGTTTTAAGCAAAATTTCCTTTTCACTAAATTTACACCCTTTATTTCTTTACAAGAATTGCACAATTTAGCATAGTTAGATAAAAACTCTTTCCCAGCTTTGTCTTTAACTTTTTGCTTACGGCTGTTACAATATGTGGACCACATGTGATGGTAAAACATGAAACACCGTAAGAAAAGGGTTAACTGTAAAATAAAACTGTTCTCGAGTATTTCGATCTCATGAGAGCAAACTCATTGAAATTTGTAAGCTTTTAATAAACTGGAACTGTTTCAGAAGGTTGTAGATGCATTCTAGCCATTTCTGAATACATTAATAATAAACAAAATTGGAAAAGTGGCTAACTAGTTTATTTTTTTTTGGCGAGTTTTAAAGTTCAATTCTTTTTTTAATTAAAAATCAGAGCAATTCTAATTTGGGCACAAACTCTAAGCATGCTGTAATGCTTTACACCACATACCCCATTTATTCTGAGGAACTATAATGAGATTTTCTAATATATTATCACTTGCCTTTTTATTGCCCAATACTATTTTCCACTCTTTTTTTTTTGTAGTCTAATTGTAAAGGGGTATTATTAAGTAAAAAATTACCAGACTTTGAAGCTGTTTATCCAATAAGTCTGGAGTTAATGTTGATAAATTGGGTGTTGGTGAAATTAGCATTAGTATTTGTAGTATATGCATTTGCACCAGTATAAGAATGTTTTGCACTAGTTGAAGAAGGGCTTACATTCGTATCAGAAGAACCTGTACTAGCATTTACCCTTAACAGTTCAGATGTATTTCAAGTTTACTTCCTACCTGGAATGTTTTTGATTGATTATAATTATATAAGAACAATTATAAAATAAAAATTAATTGCAAATATAACTACAATAAGTGTGATTAAAATGTTAGTCGTCACATGCACCTTAGCTTGGTGCGCTAATTTTTTTTGTCCATGAGTGTATATTAGTCGATTGTTAATCTAAAATTCAGAAAAATTATTTTTATGAACATAACATACAATAAATATATTTTGAAAATAGATGAATGGAAAAAAGCACTTGAATTTTTGTATTGAGTTTAATAAAATAATTTCGGCTGCTCTGGGAGGCTTTAAGATAATGATTTGACTGTCCAGTTGTAATCATGCCCTGGTCTTTAAAGTAGAAAAAAAGTTTAATTCGTAATTAAACGTTATCTTTTGTAATGTTTGACAAAAAAAAATTTAAGACAAAAAAATATAATGTAATTTTATATAAATCTATTTCAACATCAAAGGTATGATTGTTCATAATTTTAAAAAGAGAGTCGATTTTGAGTATTTTAGAAGTTGAATCTTAAAACAAATTATTTCATTGCATATGATGGCACTAAGGGACAGAGGATGATAAAACAAAATTTTAAAGGGTGCATTGAAATTAATAAACAGTAGTAGTTTAATAATTATTTATGGATGCTAAATGTTAAGAGTTGCTTCAATCTGATCCAATCTAAATTTTCAAAACAAAATTTATATGGTAACAAAACAAGTTGAATGGTTACACTCTTAAAACAAATTGCGATAAAAAAAATAATAGTACAATATATTAACTGACTGAAAAAAGAACTTATTATGTATGTGTTTAAAGCATGGAATCATGCTTTTAAATTCAAATTTTGAAAAGGAAAAATTATTTTAAATTTTAGTAGGATAAAAATATGCTTAATTGAAGTTATTCAAGTAATATCTAAACTGTTCTAAAAGTTCTGATTATAAGTTTTAATGAGATTCAAATGTTTATTTTTTATTTTAAATGCATTTTAATTGAATTTGTATAAGTGAGAAAGTTATCCGCAAATTCAGAAGGAAGCTCTGCAGTGTACTAGGAAAAAAAACTTATCAAAACCAATACTTCAAAATTTTTTGTCAAAGCTGATAACTTAAAACAATTTCAGTAAATCTTATAAAACCTAAACTAATTCAAATAAAAAAAATACAAGCAATTAGGTAAACAACACCTTTTATATTAAACAACAATGTATATACACAAATTCCAGACTATATATTTTCACAAATTATGTACATAAAAATCAATCATAAAGAATGCATCAATTCTTTAATATAAATAATCCATTCCAAACATAAAACCCCAGTTTCTAACAATATNCTGAATATATATATATCAAATAAACATTGATTTATTTACCTAAAAACATATAAAAATGACTAAATATTTTTTTAGTAATAAAAGTTTCCAATAATTAAACAGCCTCTACATAAACTCTGTTTAAACAACAAGTAAAAACAAGAGAACATTTGACACATTTTAAAAAAACTACAAAAATATGACATCATTATTGTAAATGAAATTCACATGGCAAGAATAAAATTACACAAATATAGTTCTTAAAAGCATGCTTAGTTTTATGCATATTTATTACTGGAAAAAATATACATTTCTACACTAATAATTGAAGGGGTGAGCAGACAGAATTTCTCATTAATAAAAATATTGAGCAAGCTTAGTTTTAAAACAAAGCGATACTTGCTTATTACTAGCTAAATGAAGTACACATTTTAAATTGTTTAATCCTTTCCCCTCTTATACAACTACTTTTTCGTGTTTCCCTTTACATTATGAATTTTTATAAGTATTAGAAGAAGGATATCAAGTTCATCAAATATTATATAGTTGAACTGCTTATCATTTTTAAGCAAAAATATTTTATAATTTTCAAATTTATTAACTTCAAAAAAAAATTTTTTTTTCCATTAAACTTTCACATTTAATAACAAATAATTAAAATGTAGCAAAATTTTGCTTAACAATAAGTTATAAAATAAAAAGATACAACTAAATATTCTCTACTTTAGTTAATTTTTTAATTATTTGCATTATTACAAAAAAAAGACCAAGTAAATCTAACAAAAGCTGTTGTTTTTGTAGAGTAAGCTATAAAAGATGATTCAAGGATTCCCCATACACTAAACAAACAATTCATATTAGACAATAAATGTTAGAGTAGAGATCACTAGATTAGTCTCAAAACACTCTTTTACACTATTTCTACACAAATTTCCATTTCAACACAAATAAGTATAGTTTCACTAAATTTCAAAAACAGAGATAAGCAAAAACATCAATTAGGAAAACTTTAAGGTTAGAACAATACATACCTATTTTATCTACTAAGCCCTTCAATTATAATTGCGTTTTGCTTTTTTAAAAAATTATCTTAACTTTCATTTTTTAAATACAAAATTTTAACATTGCGCAGAAAAGCCATTTTTAGGCTAACATATTAAAAACATTTACTAACTAATGTGATCCTTTAGATTTGATCGGTAAACAGCACATTTAACAAACAAAACACACATGAAAGCTTGTAAGTACTCAATAAAAAGTTAAAGTTCTTTAATTAAAAATTTATGTAGGTCTTCTACCACCAAGTATAGTGTAAGTATTATCTTATAAAATTACCCTACTATTACAAACAACAAATAAAGAAACAACATTAAAGAAATTTAATTTGTCACTCAGTATAAAAACTGCTTAGTCACAAGATAAAAGCTTATAAGATGAATTCACTGAACTATTCTGACACAATGTAATATTAACAAAACAACTAATTCTCAATAATAAAAACTCAAGAAGAAACTGTTTTTATGATGAAAGTACAAAGATAGATAGAAATTCGTACAAAGATATTATTTTTATATAGTGAGTAGATTATTTAATTGACTTTTCATTTTGATTATTTTCTCTAAAACATTGAGCTTTAATACTCATAATATTTAAACATAATGAGGATATATAAAATGAATGCTGTAAAACCGCATTCTATTTAACAGACTTCTAAAGGGAGTATGCATTTACTAGTAAAATTTACACTCATTTCTTTGAATTGAGATAATAATTTGAGTATCACAGTTGTTTTCTACTTTATTGATATAAACAACACACTTTTATTAGTGTTTCTTGTATACAAAAATTTTGCACGAGTGAGTGTTTGCTTAAGGACAAAATTAGGAAAGGAAACTTATGATTCTATACGGCATTAAAGCTGTTCAAAGGACAACATCAGTTTTTTAAATGCCTCAGTGCTGCATTATTTTTTAGAAAATTAACTAAAAGTGTTTCCTCTTCCAAAGAAGTGCTTTTGGTCGAATAAGAGGGTAGAGAGATCTCTTGTAATGGCACTTTCGTACTAAATTGTGTGACCAGCATACTCCATCGCTTCTTTCACTGATTGATAAATAATTTTAAATGGACGTAGTAACAACTTATTCATTATATTAGATCATAGTAGCCATTTATCTGACACATAAGTATTGCAACTGCTTCTACTATACTTTGGAGTAAAGCCTAAAAAAATTAATTTTCAAGTCACATTCTTAGAATATTACAAGACCAAAAAATGTCACAATAAAAATTTATTTAAAAATAGCATAAATATAGAGGTTTTACACGTGAATTTTAATGCTTATGTGCTTTCAGAATGTGACCTAATTTAATTAAAATATAACAAATCAGCATTGCCAAGAAAATTATTATGCAAAGCAAGCATATATTAGGATCTTGATGAGTTCGCAATTAGGTTTCTAACCATATATTGACTGCACAAAATTGATAACAAATGTAACACACTAATTCTTTAGATTTCTCATTAAACATTACAAAAATGTGACAATTAATTCGTTACAGAAAATAAAATTGCTCCCTCTTAAAAATTTATAAAAATATTAAGTCTTCTTTTTCTTTTCAAGTAAATAAAAAAAAACTTCTAATGTTTCTTGCACATTAAATGTTACTAAGGAAACACTCCTCATCAATGGGCAAATTTTTATGTCCTGAAAATATTTATTTTAAAGTGATTTTATAGTAAGTATGGAGAGTTAACAACACCAATTATCAATAAAAAGGCCATTTAAGTTAATAGCATTAGTTACATTAACAGAGTTACAATTTAATAAATTACCCTTTAAAGAAGCTTAAGTAAGCACAAAATAAATTTCATTACATGCGATGATGCAAGAAAATGGTAATGCAGTAAATTACAACCAATGTTAAAAGTAATCACAATTATTGCAATAATAATAATAATACAATTTTAAATTTATCACTCATTTAATAAACTCCCATATACAGCAATATTCAGGCTCTGAACAAAATTTTTTGTAGAGCATTTTAAAAGTAGGCCTCCTCTCTGGCATATATAACCAACACTGTTGTATTATACTTTTAATGCTGACTGGACAACTTTCAGGAATTTCAAGTCTATTATTAGCTTCTATTAGTTGAATAACCTAAAATATGACAGCATAAATTTAAATAAATATGCACTTCAAATACAACTTTCAATAAAATGTCATAAGAAATAAGCAGAGAATCAAAACAATCAACCAATAAGTATTTAGACACTTGTGATAGGAAAAAATATTATTCACATTGCTTAATTGGTAGAGCCTATTCAAAAAGCGGTTACACCTACATTAAGTTCTTGTATGACAGCTAGCTTTTTTCTTTCTCTGCTAAAAGAAAACTTCTAAGTTCCTTCAATGATATTAGATTTCTATTTAACTTCTTAATTACATGATCTAACTCATATCAGAAGATCTCCAGAGGGTTCAAGTCTGGGATCTGGACAGGCTGGTCCAATTGAGTAGCATAGGTGCAATCTGTAAAACTGCACCAAAGTAGCAAATGCAGTGTTGTTCAAAATAGTGCCCAAGGAATTGCCATTCAGTTTATCATGAATTTGAACTAAGAGAACAAAGATCAAACCAGAAAGAACAGATCATAATTCTATCTCCCTTAAACTTTATAATAAAACAATTCATTGTGACAGACTTTCTCCAAACAGAAGCCAGGCCATGTCATCTCAATGGTAAAAGATCCATTTCCACTGATCTACAATTCACTATTAGCTTGCTTTGTATAAAATTAATCTGCCAATGTGCTTGGACTTTGTGATCAAAGGCTTATGAGTGGTAACATGACCATGAAAACCAAATAGATAAGCATTTTTACAGATGACGATTATGGTTGAAACTCTTAGAGAGTAATAAGTATGGTGTGATTTTTCAGAACTTTTCTCAGTTTATGCTGACTTGGAGCACATATCAACAATCACCTTCCGCTTTTGAATTATTTAGGCCACTGTCAATTTTTTTTCTCATAATTTTGTTTCCTAGATATGCATTTTAAGGTTCAGGATGTCTGTTATAACCATTGAATAAACTTTTCCAGAAATCAGATAACTCTGCCTCTAGCATGCAATTAATACCAATGGTGTTTCCTACATAAAATTTAATGGAGCATGTGATATATATAAAGATATATTATACACTTGATTAAACATAAATGTTTCCAGACATCAGATAGCTCTGCATATTACATGCAATTAATACCAATGGTGTTTCTCCACTAATTATTTAACGGAGGGTGTGACATATATGAGAACTGCAGACATCAACATTTGTATGTGTGTTCAAAGACTTAAGGGTGGATAAAATGTTTCACTCCAAAAACACAGTTTTTCCCTGACACCATGTTGCAACAGAAATATAGAAACTATATATAACTTATTAGTTTAAATTTTTAATTTATGCTGAACTATTACACTTTATAAAAGTAATATTACTATGAATAATAAATTATTATTTAACTGGAAACAAACAGCAATCACTAATAACAATAGAAGGATTCGGCAGTTGACACCTATGTTTCTCCATTTTTGTAACCACAAAAGAAAAATTTTTTTTTTAAAGAAAAACAACTTCAATAAGAATTAATGATTAGTTTAAAAACATTTTTTTTTCTGAATTATAATAACAACATTAAATATTGTACAAAAATCTTAAGAGTCCTGGGAAAATTTGTACAACTTCCCAGACAATAACTGTTTTTCCTTGAATAATTTAAGAGAAAAATTGATGGCAATAAAGAGATGTGTTGCTTGATAAATTATTTTTATTTTTGAAAGAAAAGTGTTTCTTAATTAAAATAATAAAAATTGTTGTCTGCATTGAATCAATACAAAAGGGACACTAAGTACCAAACCTTGATTAAGCTAAAAAAAAATGTTGTCTTTTATAAGTAGGAAATATTTTATTTTCATAAAGTAAATGAATGACCAATCTTTTTACAAGTTTTCATCATCTTATTTTTCCAAAAACATAGTATTCCTAGCTTAAAAAAATGAAAACTGCAATAGTAGTTTCACCATGCATATTTTAGTAAATTAAAATCATAGATACTTCAATAACATGACATTTTAGTTTAGTTTTTAATATAATCAACCTTGCAGTTAGATTTATTTTGCTTAGACTTTTTCTTAATATGTCAAACAAATGATTATTATATAATCAAGATTACAACCTCAGTGCCAGTCATATCTCCATAAGGAGGCTCTCCTAAAGTAATTATTTCCCACAATGTGATGCCATAACTCCACATATCACTTGCGTGAGAAAAGGTACCATAGTTTATAGATTCAGGAGCATACCTAAATAAATAAAACTTGTTATTAGAGTATTTAAAACTTTTCTGATATAGTTTTAAATCATTTTAATAACTTCCATTGATCCACAATACAAGCTTACTTCCTTATGATCAGATTTTCATGCATAATTTCAATCATTCAAAGGATAAACTTTATTTACACTGATCATTTAGTGCATAAATTAAAATACAAAATAAAAAAAAGTACACAAACAACAACTTGTAGTTTAGTTTATCAATTCTAGTAAACCAACTTTAAATAGTTGATTTTTAAAGCCAGTGTTTTCACTATATTCAAGTAATAGTGTGATGATATAGACGGTCAAATTATGCAAGTAAGAAAACATTTCTTCGATCTCAAATATTTTTATGATAAAAATAAAAGTTAATTTTCAACATCTGAAAGAACCAATTAAATACACTTCTAAAACACTAGTAGATAAAGTTTAAAAATACATAACAAAAGAAAACGTCTTAAAATTATTTGATAACATTCAAACAACAATTATGAACAGTAATGAAAATTAATGAAGATTTTTGAATTTTGCATTCATCTTGACACTTTTAATAATTATTTAATATATTGAATACAAGGAATTTTTAATNAGTTTAAAAATACATAACAAAAGAAAACGTCTTAAAATTATTTGATAACATTCAAACAGCAATTATGAACAGTAATGAAAATTAATGGAGATTTTTGAATTTTGCATTCATTTTGACACTTTTAATAATTATTTAATATATTGAATACAAGGAATTTTTAATTTTAATGAACTGTTTAAAAATAAAATTAATTACAGAGAAATGAAATTATTAATAAAAAATTCTATATACAGCAGATTTTACCATTTTACAGGCCATCTTCCACCGGTACTGGCTCTGTAATATTCACTACCAGATCGCAGAGCCCTTGATAATCCAAAATCACTTATTTTAGCCTAATAAAGTGCAAAAAGTATGTAGTACAAATATAAAAATATATCAGTCAAAAAATGCTTGAAACTTAGAAAGAAAATAGCAGTTTGGCATAAAAAAGTTATCTCAATTCTTTATACTATTCAAATTTAGAGTAAGATTTTAGATTAAAATATTGTCTTCTTTTGAATTAAGTTAATTAAGCTAACTTTTTTATTTTGTATTATTGTGTATAACATTATTAAAAACAAATCTTTTATTCAAAAATCAATAGAAAATGTGTATGAATATAATTTTCTTCAAAATATTTACTGAATTATTTTGATTAGATTAAAACACCAATTAATTGATTCATTAAGAATTGAATGTTTTTTGCTTTGTCTGAAAAAATATGCACACCTCTGTAAAAGAATAACTACTTAAACTGAGAAAGTTTAAAAATTAAAACAAAAGCTCAATTGCTCTTCTGCTGTAAATCATTTTCCCTTACATTATGTTTTTGTTGTTGTGATAATTTATCATAAATAAATATATCATGTATTAAAACATACAAATTTTTTAAATAAAAATAACTCATTTTTTTCTGTAAATTTTGAGGGCTATTTGACAAAAAAAAAAAAACTTCTAACAAATCATTTTTTATTTTATTCATAATGGTAAATTACTTTTTGATATATATAAACAACTAAAAAGTTATTTCTGTATGAAAACATTGACCTTGATAATTTACCTATAAGTGTCACAGCAATTAATGAAAAATGTTATTAAGGCTGACCATTCAATTTCTAAATTCAAGACAAACTAAGTCTTAATTGAATAATTTTTATCCAAGAAAATTTTAAATTTGAGAGGCTATAAATTTAAATACTTATGTGGAAAAAGAAATTTGAAACATTTTAGAAAAAACTATCAAAGCCAACATATTTAAGCACAAAATAGCTGATCAGATCTTTTATGAGCGATTTACAGCTAAATATATCTTTAAATGCTATCTCTTACGTAATATTGAATAAGATCTATGTAGAATTAAAACACAATATAAAATTTAACATTAGATCATTTTTCATTTACATTAAAAGATTCCCCACCCCATTTAGCAATCATAAGTACACTGGACAAAAAATTAGCAAACCATAGAGAAATCATGAAAAACATTTAATAATGTGTAACACCACCTGGATTCGGTTAGTAAGTGAGTTTACAAGGTTTTGCAGGTATGCCGAATCCAGTTTTAAGCTAATCGATGAAGATTTGATAGCGCAAATCCACCTAATTGCGAGAATGCTGATTTTTGCGTTTTACCCGTTGCTCCAACATGCACCACAATTTTTCAATGGGGGTCAAGTCAGGTAATTTTTCAGGCTAGTGGAGATTTAATTCAGTGTCTGAGTGTTCATAAAATCAGTCACATATTCTTCCAGCCCAATGAGCTTTGTGGTTGTCATCTTTAAAAATAGGGGTATTGACAGCATTACTCTTCACGAAGATGTTTACTGAAAGGCAACACTTGATCATCCAGAATGCTCAAATAAGCATGTTGGTTCATGTTAGTGGCCACCTCAGTGAGGAAGCGCAATCCATAATAAGAAAAACACCCCCAAAATATGACAGACCCACCTGCGGCTTGAACCTGACCTTACACACAATCAGTATGAAATTCTTCATCTGGTCTTTGGTGCACTTGACGACGTGCATCATTTGAATAAAGGCAAAAACGTGATTCGTTAAACCATATTACATTCCGCCAGTCAGCAACTGTCCATGTTCAGTGACTTCTAGCCCATTGAAGTTGTGCAGCTTTATGTGTCTGTTTGAGCAATGGCCTCTTACGAGGTGTTCGACTCCAAATGCTCATTGTATGCAGCTCCCGTTACAATGGTCTCTCACTAACAGGTTGGGATGGACCTTCATTTACTATCTAAAGCAATTCCAGTTGGGTTTGGAAGCGATTTTGATTGACAAGTCCCTTCGATGCTGGATTTTTTTCCCAACTATAATTTTGACGTCGTCTTTTGTGACCACATGTATTACACCACTGCTTGTAGACACGTTGAACAGTTCGCATTGAAATATCAACAAATCCAGCAACTTCATTCGCCATATGACCATGGGCACGGCCAAACACAATTGCCCCTTTTTGCCACTCTGTCACATCTTTACACTTACCCATATGTACACACAATTTCCGATTAAAATAAATAAAAATATCTCACAGATAGCTACTTGCCTTTGACCACGGTGAGGCAGTGCAAACGCAGTTGAGCACGTCACTTGACTGCATCATCATCTAACGAAACCTAATGATTTTTTGTCCAGTGAGCTTATTTTTATAGTTCAAAAATAAGCTCTACCATATTAAACATAATTTTTAAAAGCAAGTTAGTTTCTTAATTTATAAAGGAATTTAGCTATTTTCTTTCTTTGCAGTACATAAATATGATAAATACGCTTAAAACTAATTACATTTACATAAATGCAAATTGAGCATTAAAAAAGTAGCAACCTGAGTTTTGGAGGACAATAATATATTTCTTGCAGCTAAGTCTCGATGAACAAAACGTTTACTTTCTAAATAAGTCATCCCCCAAGCAATTTGAGCAGACCATATCAGCATATCTTGTAAGTGGATCTCAGTAGAATGATCTAACACATAATCTAGAAGTGAACCCATTGGAACTAATTCTTGCACCTGTAGTATTAAAAATAAATAATAAAAGCACGTACATAATACAAGGATTTTAAGATTAATTATCACATTCTTTTTGGTGCATGCATAATAAATATTTTCTAACACCAGCATTTATAAGCAAAGAATTTTTTTCATCTATTTTCAGTTTTAAAACACATTGCTTAAACAATTTAAAAATCATTTTTTTTTAGAATTGCTTTAATTTATGATAGTTAATATGAAAAATAATGTATTGATTAGCTAATTTGCTTTAATTATTTTGATAGCTATTAACTTGATTTGAACTCTTTAGAATATGAAATTTAAGAAAAAAGTTTTGTAGAAAATAGTGATGTCCAAAAAATTTTTGGTTCAGTTCAGCAATGCAAATTCACACAACTAGTTTCATATGGTTAAAATTCTAGATATCTTTTTTACAAATACTTGTTTTGACATGCAAATGAAAAAAAAAATTGGTTTTCATTTTTATAGTTTTTATAATTAAAGAGAAAAATAAATTTTTTAAATATTTAAAATTAAAATTCTTTTTTATTTAATTTACAAAATCAAAATTGGGTATGCTTTTTACCAATTAACAAAAATCATTGCTAGAAATTTTTTTATAAAACTTATATTGCAGTATTAAGCAAATCATATAGTTCAATTGAGTTATTATACCATTAATAGAAATAAATATTTTATGTTTAATTGTACTTTTAACCAATTAATCAAAACACCTTAAATTTAATTTTAAAATGTAACTAAAAAGTTAACCTAAGAACATAATGATACATACCTTCATAGTGATCAATTTGCCAATGGGACTACATTTAATAAAAATTCCATTGTAACATGGATATATTTGTTCCACTCCCAATTCATAATAGATTTAATCTTAAGAACAATGGTTAAGAACTCAAGGAATGCTTATAACTTTCATTGCTTTAAATTTCTTGAAGTACAACAAATAAATATAAAAATATTGTTTTTCTTTATCCACAAGCCAAACATTTTTAAATCACAATTTTTATTATTTCGATAGGAGCAATTATAAACTTTTTCCCCTTATAGTAAGGCCTTCAAAACTTGTGAGATAAAAAAAAGTTTTAAGAAGGAGGGGGTAAAATAAAATTTGTCATTGAAGAACTTGTAGAAGAGTTACCAGACTAAGTTTAAATTTAACTATTATGCACACAAATCTTGTTTCAGAAAAGCACAGTTTATACCCTGATATAAGCTAAAAGAGAAACACGTTATGAATAAAGAATATTATAAGTAGAAAGTTAAGTATCAAAGTATATTTTACAATAAATTAAATTTAATTTATATTATAAATTATAAACATATAATTTGAATTTTAACTAATGCTTACCATCATTAAAGGGGGTCCAAGGCAAACACCAAGCAGTTTAACAATGCAACAATGGTTTAACCCAACCATCACTTCAACTTCCCGTATAAATTCTTCCCTACAGCTCTGCATCTGTTCATCTCTTAATGTTTTTATAGCAACAGCAACCTATATTTTAAGAAAAAAAAATATTATTAACAAATCAATTGAAGTTATAAAATGAAATTGAAAATCTCACAAACTAGTCTATCATATCTGCCATTAAGATTCATAACACTTTGTAATTATGTAAAATGCTAAAAAATTATTTATTTTGCACTTTAAGAAATTGAATAAAAGTCTGAAAGTTACCTGTATCTCATTTTCTAAGTTAAACAAGCATAATCATCTTTTATGGGTCTCTTACAAGGTTGAAAGAATATTCTTAATGCGGAAGTAGAGCATTTTTTTTAAATCAAGTGTTAGAATCAAGTTAAATAGCTCTTGAGGAATGAAACCTTAAAAATATGACTGTTTTAAAGTTTCATTACTCAGAAACAATTAGGCTGACTTTGATAAAATTTTGAATTTCATTATTTAAAATAAAAAATTTTAAAATTTAAAAAAATTCAATTATAGTTAACTTTAATAATCAATAATTCTATGCCTTCCTAATGTAATTACCAAAAGAGAAGGTTATGTTTAATATTGATTCAGATTCTTACTTCAGTATTGTTTTGATTTATCCACGTTCCTTGCAAAACAGAACCAAATTCTCCTTCACCAACAGATAGACCTGAAATAAAGAAGTTTTGAGTTAGATTTTTAATCTATAGTATAGAATAGTATAGCATTTAGTATAGTACAGTATATAGTATAGTATAGTATTTAGTATAGTATAGTATTTAGTATAGTATAATGTAGTATATAATATTGTATAGTATAATATATTATAGTATATAATATAGTATATAATATAGTATAGTAAAGTATAGTATATAATATAGTATAGTAAAGTATAGTATAGTATTTAGTATAGTATAGTATTAGTATAGTATAATATAGTACAGTATAGTATAGTATTTAGCATAGTACAGTACAGTATAGTATAATATTGTATAGTATTTAGTATCGTATAGTATTGTATTTAGTATCACCAGCAGACAGACCTGAAATAAAGAAGTTTTGAGTTAGATCAGTCATATTTTTAATCTATTTAAATAGTTTAAAAAAAGCAACTTTTTACTTAAATAAATTATTTAAATAAGAGAAGTTACATTAACAGTTTTACTAGGGAAATCTTACATTATAATTTCAGAAGAGGAGGGATGCCATAAAATATTTTTATTAATATTTTTCAGCTGATTGAACACATTTGTTCTATGCACTGTTTTTTATTAAATAACAATGAGAGAAAAAGGTTTACTTTGTAAAAAATCACAACATTGAAGGTTAAACTGAAGTCACAGTTAATTGGAGAAGAGTTAGAATTGACTAAATAATGTCAAGTGTTAATGTTATTTCTAGGTAACTAATAAAATAGTGCAACAATTTAAGTCTGATGGAAACAAAAGAAAATGAGAACAAAGAAGGAACAATCACAAAGTTATGAAATCTATGTTAATCTAAACCAAGACCCAGAATAAGATGAAAATTAAAAAGGGAAGACAGCTAAAGTGAGAATAAAATAAATAAAATCAATCAACTCATCACAAAGAATGCTAGAATAAATTATTATGTTTGAAATGAAGATTTATAACTCTGATTCAAAAAATAAAGCTGACACATTTTATTTTTGAATAGCAGAAATATAACAAGATCATATTTATATGTTCATAAATTGAGATGTAGTCATTTTTCCAATTAGACATTTTAATAATCAAACTTATCTTAACAAAGTTTGACAGTAACATAAATTTTATAAAGATTTTAAAAAACAAAAGGCCCCTAATAAAAACATAAGCTATGATGATGGATACTGCCATTTTGATAAAGAAGCTATCCTTCTTTTTTGATTTCTAACTAATGTCAGAGTAACTTGACTTAAATAATTCATGAAATATGCTATTATGAAGTCCTGAAATGCATATACTGCAAAGTTTCCACTAAAATCACAGTTTACAAATTCTAAAAAGTACTTAATCTTAGATGGCTCAGTGGTTAAGGCCCTGATTTGCTGATGTGAAGAACTGGGGTCAGATCCCCAGCGGTGCCATAAAGCCCACATAACTTCAGATCAATGGGCATCAGTTTGTCTGTGAGTATAAAAACAGCCTGAGTACAATTCTGACCACATTGCCACAAGCATACCATTGGTCAAGAAACTGTGCAGCCTAGCCTTAAGCTATACATTCCCCTAGTATCTGTTATGGAAAGGCCTTACTTTTTTAATCTCTAGCGGCATCTTGAAATCCATCCAGCTTCAGATTCATGGGCACCAGTTTGGCTGAAAAGTAAAAGCAGCCTGTGCATGATGCAAAACCACATTGTTACAATTATGGCGATGATCACGAAATTATGGAGTATTTCTTTCTTTTTCTTTTTACTTAAAAGTCTTATGTGAAACATCAATTATGAATATTAATGCACGCAATTCATGGTATTATATGCTTAACATACAATACAATGAATGTTAAACATAAAATACTACAACAGTAGAACAATTTCCTGAATGAAAGGGGTTTTAAGTAAAATCAAACAACAAAATTAAAAAATGTAATAAACTGCTTCAAAGAAGAAAAAAAAAACAAAAAAAACATCAATTTGATTATTTTTATAGATACCTCAGAAATTCTTTGATAGACAGTAAGTGCAGAAGATATATATTTTCAGATAAGGAGAGAATAAGGAAAGGCATGAAAATACACAGGAGATAAAGAATGAGAAGCTGGAAAGAGAAAAGACCATTCACATCTTTCTAAAAACATTAAAATAAGTACTTGCTATTTGAAAATAATAACTTATATTACTGATCAATGAATTCTTTTCAGTCTTGCAATTTAACTTTGTTTCAGTCTTGCAATTTCACTATTATTCGATTTTGTGTAATTTGATTTACAAAGTTTTAACAATATTTAATTAGATACTTTAATAGCTTAATGAAAATTAAAAATATTGCAATGTTGAGTTTCAGTTGACCATCATTATCTAAGAATAACTTTAGCTAGTAAAAACAGGAGTACAAAACTTTTGGTGTTAATAAAACCATTTAACATATATGTTAACCAATTAAATTTGTCTGGCAGAATTATTAATACTTGTTTACACCATTTTTTGAAACCATTTGACAAAAAAAGGAAACTCTTTCAGAAAATTGTCTATTATCTGTACTAAAATTTCATGGAATGGGTGAAAAAGCATTCAAAACTAACCTAAACCCTTTTCTAAATTGATCACACAAAAAAAAAAAACTATTAAAGGCTTCAAAGAAGTTTCTTTTAGGTTCACGTATATATATATACACTTTCTTTTCATCAAAGCAAGTATCAATATTACACACACAAAAGTATTTCTTCCAACTGTAATATTCTAAGGCAATTCAGATTGTAGCTTGTAATAAAATTGACCAAAACAAGAAAGAAATTTTAATTGCTATTGATAAAAAAATACAAATGCTAACTTTTATTATTATTATTTTTTGTCTAAACAGACTTTAAGAATAACAAATAAGTCTATATATATTAAATATATAGTCTATATTTATAAATATATTAAAGTTTTATTTAAATAAGTGAGCCAATTACTTCTATGTTTATTTTGAGACGCAGAACAGACTTCAAATAAATGTATTGTTTTTCCTATATTATCTGATTTGTGCTTGCCTCTGGCAGCAAAAATAACTGGAGTTTTTCTTGTTTAAAATAATATTAGAACGGCTTTATGAACATGAAAGTAAGACTAACTTTATTTTTGTTCATAAATAAAGTTGCCCCTTCATTCAAAACATACCTTCTTATGGTTTAAATAAGAAAGAATAAAATAAATAAATAATCATCTCCTACTATATGTTATCAATTTAGTGATCAACTGTCGAAGTTGATCACTAAATTGATTCACCATCCACAGTCAATGTATTCAAATTTCACTGCGTGCATTTTAAAATTATGCCATAATAAAGATTTGATGAAACAGACTTTCCATTCATCTTACTAAAGATAGAATTCAGTTGCTTAGCTAATAAACAGTATTGCTTCTTTTTAAATTTAATCTTTTGGAAAACGACATTTGTGATCTTGCATTAACTCTCAGATTCACTAATTTACTTTAAGATTCAATAAGCACACTTGCTAGATAAAAAATAAAACATTTTGATTAATACCTTGAAGGCCATATTTTTTTTAAAACTTTAAATTTTAACAAAAAGAACTGAACTAAGAAATAATTACATTTTTTTTTAATTAACTATGTAAAGTTTGATCAAATAAGAATAAAAACAAGGTAAAGTCAAAAATATTGAAATAATAAAATCTAACTTATACATGAAATTATCAAATATTAAAGTTTAATGACACATTATTACAGTTATCCGTCTTGTAATCAGAATATTTTACGATTCAATTGCTTGTACTGTCATAGAGAATAGTAAAATATGTAAAATAATTTAAAACAAAATAAAAATTCATATTACATAGATTTTAATTATTATATCATTTAATGAAAGAAAAGTTAATTAAATGGAAAAGTCCTACCTAACTTCAATGATTCTCGACAGATAAGATTTGGTTTTGACACAGGACAAGAGCTTTGGACATCACTTCCATTAACTGCACAACTTTCTGGTGACTTTTCCCCATTTGAAACACAGTTCTTCACAGGAGGAGGCTTAGGAATTGTTTGCTGTGAGAAATACTAGTATTTGAAAATATACATCAAGAATATAAAAATTAAATTTTCAACTTGAGTCCTTTTAAACAAGCAATAATAAAATTTGAAAAATAAATTATTGATTTCTTGATTTTTTAGAGTAAATTCCCAATGTAATGAGAATATGTACTCATAATGAGTCACAATGTCTCAGTGGTTTAAGGCATTGAGCTGTCATTATAAAAAACAGGAGTTAAATCTTCAGAAGTGGCTTGAAGACTACCCAGCTTCAGATCTATGGGTACTAGCTTTGATATGTGTCAGAAGTAAAGGTGGCTCCTGTGCAATGCCGAGCACATTACCACAACCGTGCTATTGGTTATGAAATTGTGCAGTCTTAATCTCCATGAACGCCTGGATTACAATGGATTGCGGAAATGTTTTAATTTTTGCTTTTAGATAATCATAATGGGAGGAAAAGTGGGCCTTATAACTATCTTCTCCAAATAGATAAAAACTAAATTTTAATCACTGTTTGCTAAGCTATTTTCATAAGAAATAATTCTTAGGAAAACATGGTGCCCTAGCAAGTAATTCCAGGAGTGAATAGCATTTTGTAGCAGGCAGGAATGCTTCAAGTACAAAATTCGCTCAGTAAGTTATACTTAAGTTATACAGTCAGACATAGATATAAGGCCACCCTAAGGGACATCGCAAAAGCGACCTTATAAGCGGGGTGACCTTTTAACCGATTCATTAGCAGTTCGTAACTGAGCACGTAAATAGCACACATTATGATTTTTTAAAAATGGTATCACAAACGAAAACGATCGGCCATAAATTAAATATTTAAGCCAACAAATTTTAACAGAATTAGTAAAAAAATAAAGAAAGTTAAATTTTCTTAAAATTTTTTTTATTTAAAATAAAACTGTTTCCTCAGTGTACATACATACAAATTTTCAAAGTGTACATACATACATTACATCTTACCTTATTTAAAATAATCATTTATGCAGGTCTGTCTCGATTTTGGTTTCATTTTTTGAATAATGTTTTCTAGATTTTTTAACTTCACAAAATGTTCCCCAGCTCCCTTATGGTTTGTAAACAAATTTCTTATGACATATATTGCATTGAAGGCTTCTGCTTGAGTTACAGCCTCAGGATCACTGTCATTGGTCCACAACTTGTGAAACAATTTCAGAAATTGTAGCTTCAGAAGTGGTGGCAATTTCCTCATCAATCACACCATATTCAACCTCCTCTTCAATGGCATGGCCACGATTTTTCAGATCTTCCATCAGAACAAATAGAGGAATATCGTCTTCTTCTTCAGTTACGTCATCCACGATATTCAGAGAACTCACAAAACCAGCATGACGAAAACAATTTGCTATGCATGTGGTGGACACCATGTTCCAACTTTTGTACAATGGCATCCAAGACAGTAACGTGAAACTCCTATGTTTGGTTGATGGCAGCGATAAAGTCCTTCAGGAGGAGCTTACGATAGTTCACTTTTATGTTTTGAATAACTCCTTGATCCAATGGTTGGAGAATGCTGGTCACATTGGGAGGCAAGAAAACAAGTTATTGAGGCTAATTGTAGGATGTTGGTATGAACTGTGCAATTGTCTGCTATGAAAACAACTTTTCGCTTCTACTTCACAAACTGCCTGTCTAAACACCGTTTTCTCCCAACCAAATGGTGGCGGTCATCCACACTTTTTTGTTTGCGTCGTAATCCACAGGCAAAGTTTTAACCTTTTTAAAGCAACGTGGCTTTTGGAATTTACCAATAACAAGAGGTCTCAATTTTTCAGTGCCATCCATATTGGCCCCTAAAAATACTGTAAGTCTTTGTTTTTTTTTTGCCACCTACACATTTCTCATTTTTTAACGCTAGAGTTTTTTTCAGGTAAGACTCGGAAAAAAGACCCCAAATAAAATCATGGAAAAATAGGAAAGTATTCTTTCAATTCTTGCCAGAACTTTATAATTTTTTATAAAGTTTCTTTATAAATTTTTCAACTAAGATTTTTTAAACACTTCATAACTAATCAAATACTGAATACTGTATTTCAAAATAAAATATATGAATTTTATGGAAGCAAATGAAATTAGAAAGATAGTTTCTGACTGAGTAAACATATTTTTGCATATGTAATAATATCAATTTTTAACATATAAATTTAATATATACATTAAATGTGGAATATGATCGTGTAAAAACGTTTTGCATGAAGAGGTCTTGATCTAAAAAGTTGTTAAAAAGCAACAAACGTTTTTAAATACATTATAACGTCAGAAGTATTACAATATACAGCTATGTTACTTAAAGTGTTAGCAAATGAAAATCATGCTGCAAAGACATAGAAAAGGTATAAAATTTTACTTAAAATAAAATGTAAGGAAATAAACTTAAAAAACTCACTTCGCAGGTTTGGTGATTATTGTTCAATGCAACTTCTAAAAAATTATAAAATCACATAAGTTCTTTAAATAAAATTAAACAGTACAAAAGTTATGCCTATTTTAAAACACACTGTTCTCCAAAATTTAAGATGCAACCTGTTTCCTTTGTCTAATTTGAAAATGAATGATAGCAGAAATAAGAAATTTGGAGTAGAAGTGTACTGAACAGTTCTTTACAGAACACAATACATAAATGCTTAAACACAAACATAAAAATACAAAAAAAGCATATTTCGTAAACTAGCTTCTTTTTTTTGAAAAACAAAAAAAACAACAACATTGTTTTATGTGTTGTATAAATGTTACAAAAATGTGTTCTAGTTCTCATAAGGAATGTGTCCACCCCTTAGTAAAGGCATTAGCATCATCAATTTTAATGCTGCCAATGAAGTTGTCAAACACTGAAATTAAGAATAAAATATCAGATACAGTCAAGGTCAGCAATAAACTGTTAAAATAGTAGACACATTCCTTATAAGAAGACATTTTTACAATTTTTTCACAACACATTTCCAAACAAAACTATAATGTAGGGTTTTCTCTGATATGGGATTTCTCTGCCAAAAGTGTTTTCCTTGTTGAAAATCATATTTGTATTTAAATAAGGTTGCTTTAGCACACATTTGCAACAATATTCTTGCTTCTAAATAAGGTTGCTTTAGCACACATTTGCAACAATATTCTTGCTTCTATGTTCCTTCATTTTCAAATTAGACACGGAAAAAAAGGTTCATAAACTTTGGAGGCCAGTTAAAAAAAACATACTACGTACCTGGAGGCACTGCACAAACCAAATTAGTTGGAAGACCATCTGGTATACGACGATAATAATCAACAACATGATCTAAAGATTCCAAATATGGTCCATCATCAATAAAGTAGAACTTATCCTAAAATTTTGAATGTTAAATATTAAAGTTTAATTTCACTTTTCATTTTTTACATTTTAATATGCATTTCAGTGCAATAAAGTGAAAAAATTTAAAAGAACAAAAGCTTTTTAATTCATTTTAAAATTACTATAAGGTAAGAAAATAAGGTACGGTATGTCTAATTCAAAAAATTCTAATTTCACAAGAATCTACTAAAGAACAAAACTAAGTAAAATGATCAACTTTAACATCTACAATAATTCATTTCCTTTAGTCCTAAATAAATAAGCTTAAACTCAAGATGCTATTATTTTTTTAGTGTTCTTCATTGTCAGACTGGGGAGAGATTTAAATAAACAAAGGAGACATCTTACATTTTTACTTCAAAATGTTACATGATTCTATTCACGCATATATAAATGGTATGAAATTTATATTTTTAAAAATTTGATTATGCATGTGAATGAAAATTCAAAGACTAACAAAGAATCAAATATTCATTTTAAATAATAAAAAAATAATAATTCATTAATAAAAATATATGACATTTAATTCTATATCTCTAATGAAGATGCAAAAGCAATTTTCTTAAGGTACAAGAAAAATAAGATTTTTATGGTAAAAAAAAAAAAAAAAAAAAAAAAAAAAAAAAAAAAANAAAAAAAAAAAAAAAATTCATTAACTGCCAGCAAAACAGGAATAAATCCAGCTTATTTTAGAAAATAATAATTAGGTCTAATTTTTTCTAACTATTGAACAATATCTAAATATTTAACATAATAGAAATTTTAGGTCCCCCCCCCATCCATAAAGACTAATAAATATCAAAACTATATTACATTTTCGGTTTTAGTTCTTCAGCATAAAAAAGGTTTTCGTAGATTACAAAAATCTGAAGGCAATCATTATAACGTAATTAAAAAGGGAAAAGAGTTTTCATACAGAAATATAATCTTTACTAAATGCCTAATAACTGGAAAAAAAGAATAAGATATTTACAATATCAGCATAAAACGGTTTCAATTAGACGGTTCATAAGAATTTTTGAAACCTCATGACCATGAGATCATATAAGGGCAAAAATATTTTCAGCTGAACTTAACCCTTTAGTACAAAGTTTTGTTCAGATCAGCAATCACCATACACTAGTACTACAAATTTAAATTGGCTGAAATATTTTTGTTTGAGATAGAGTGTAAACAAACCTGAATATAAATAATAAATCTTATGTTTAGTATATTTTAAATTCTAAATTATGAATAGTAATAAAGATTAAATTGATTCTTGATAGCTCTATCTTATTCTTGAAAAATATAGTAAAACTTTATTATAAGGTAAAAACTGAAACCAAAAATATAATTTTTGAAATTTTTTAAAAAGTCAAAAACGTTTCCTTAAAAATTAGGAAATTTACGAAAATGTTAGCATCATATTTTATTAACCCCTTAACTTACGCGCTCGAGTTGAGTTAATTCGAGCATGCTAAACAGGCCAAACTTGCACACTCGAAATAATTTGAGCGGCGTTGTATTTTATGCTGCTATAATTTTTCACACTCAAATATAATCGAGAATTGAAGATAACAATGTGAAAGCTAAAAAAAAAATCTTTTTATTCATATTTATCATTTATATAGGATTGTAAGTAATACACTTATTTATTCAAGAATAAAATATAGTCTTTTTCCATGGAACAAAAGCACAGTATATCAAAATTGCCCACCAAAAGAAAAGTTGATCCAGGAGCAGAATAAATTTTTTTACATGAAAAAAATTTGATTTTTTTGACCGGTTTTTTTACAAAAAAATCTGTCCGTTATGGGGTTAAAAGCTGAACTATACAAAATGTGCGAAAATCACGATATCCCTGATACATGAGTGCTAATCAAAACTTAGTTTCATACTTGACATTAATTTCCAGAACTAGTGCCACACTTTAATAGAAATAAAAGTTCATCAGAATTGACACTTTCAAAGGAGAAAAAAAAAACTAAATGATAGTAATGCAAAAAATTATTAAAAATAAATTTTAAAAAAATTTAATTGTAAAGTGAGAAAATACTTAACAAAAGAAAAAACTTTTTAATTCTTAATTCTAAAATCAAACCTGCCAACCCTCATTTCTTTAAAATGCAGAAGGTTTACAACAAAATTACTGTACAAATTAATTAAAATGCAGAATATTTTGTGTATTTTCAATTTTTATTCCTTATTAAAAGTATTATATAGTGTTTTACAAGTGAAATATAGTACTCTAAAATTAATCAATACTTTGAATGAATTTATGATCTACAACATCAATTTGACTGAAGCAAACTGATAATAAAGTGTCACTGTCTGAGTATGGCATGAAAGCCTCTCACACGTATATATATATACACACAAGCAAGGATGCAGAACATGTCTAATCGCACGAATGATATTCGAGGGAAATTCAGGTAGCACTGGAAATTTTTATTGTCCAATTAATAAAAAAATGCATAAGGAAAAAGGAAGGTTGTTATTTAGGGATGATATATACAAATTTTTTTAAACTAGACTTTTCTTTTCTTTTTTTAAACAAAAACAAATTAAACTCCTCAGCATCCTCATGATTGATAGATCTTGTTAAATTAAAAATGTAGTATTTGGACAAAAAAGGCACAAGAAACACAGAAATGTAGATGATTGATAAATTTTAAAATATACATTTTTTAAAAGTTTGTTTCAACATAATTTTTAATTCCTCATAAAATATCAATTTATTTTATAAAAAGAATATATATTATTAAATATAACAAGAATGTCAAACTGTTTATTTATCAGTTTGAATTAGTAAAGTTTATGTGTGAGACCTTAATTTTAGTATAATAAATTAATATTATTAATAATTATTATTTAAATATATCTTGATTTCTATTATTTTCAACATATATGTAAGTTTATTCAAGAATTGTGTAAAATCTAATTACTTATCAAATTACTTAGAAAAAATTATTATCTAAAAACTTTAATAACATGCAAACTTTGCGTTCTAAAAATATGTTGATAAAGCTATTGCAACTTAAAAGGGAAACAAAAGTGCTACAATTATGGAGGAAATTACAAAAGAAAAAAACTGTGTTGTGGGGAAATATCAGACTCTGAGATTTTTCTGCACCCCCATATATAAGTAGTTTTATGAAATTACAAAATTTTAATGTATATTTTTGAAATACAGAAGATTTCAAACTTAGTGAAAAAAAGACAGAAAATGATACCTAAATGCAGATGAGTTGGAGCTTTGTTAATAACTATCAGCTTTAATTATTTAACTCCAAAAATTTCAGTTTTCTACTGTATTTACTGGAAATAAGCATTGCTACAACAAAAGTGCTAATAAATTTTTTTTTAATGAATACTTACTAAAATCCACATTTATAAAAATAATAAAGGGAGATAAAACTATCTTTGTAATAGTTATTCATAAAGACGAATGAAAAACTGGCTAACAACTATTAAAATGAAATAGAACTAAAAAAAAAGAGAAACAGAAAAAAATCATTCCTAATTCATAAAATAAAACTTTTTCAGTTTTCCATATTTCATAAATGCCTTGCTGTAGAAAAACCTTTGACAAAAAACAAAAATGTTTGTGGCAGAGGGCATTTATTCCATTAAATACAATTGTGATCAGTATTTTATAGTAGAATTTCTAATTTTTAAATTAATCCTATGCACAAATGATTTCTGTTAGTTTCATTCCAGATATTTGATTTTAACTACATTGTCTATGAGGCTCACTTCATGTTTTTTTAACTTATTTAAATTGCATTCAAAAATTATTTTGACTAAGCTTTTTTCAGAAAAGTTTTTTAATTTTTGTGAATTTTCAAAACTTTAAAAAATCTAGAAGAATTTTTGATTAGAACAGGACACCAATAGAAACTGGTGAAATAAAACAAAGTTGGTAACTTCATAAAGGTTAAAATTAACTTAATTATAAAAATATTAAATTCTTAAGTCTCACATAAATGAATATTATTACAACATTCTTACTTAACTTCCATCTTACCTTATTTTGTATTTCATAGTTAAACGTATTTTTGTTGGAAACAACAGAAAGTACATAAAAATTTCGTTTCCTTGTGCTTCGACGTACCAAGAAAGAACCATCTTTAAAACCATTGTCCCGAAAACGTTCTATTGTACCCTAATTAGAAATCAGCATAAAAAAACAATATTAATAAAATAATTTAGATAAAATAAATTATACTTATTAACAACTTGAAATAATATTAAATACTACGTGATTATATTTTACTACAAATAATTTATTTTTAGGGAAACAAAGAAATCATTCTAAAATATATATTTATTTATCACATGTATATATATTTAGAATTTTAAGTTTATATGCTTCAAAAAGTCATTTTAAGTACACTTAAAAGTTTTTTTTAAAAAAATAAAATATTTGATTACTTCACTACTGAATGTTTTTAATAAACCTTACCCACATTTCAAAGCCATCATTCAGAAACAAACCAAGGGAATAAAAAAAAAATCCTTAATAAATGTAAATATTGTAAAACTTAATGAAGGAAGTATTTAGTTGTTGAAAATATTCCAGAAACTCAGAGGCAGAAATTTTTCTGGCTTCTGGGACAAATTTCCCTAGCCCTCATATCTTTCTGCAAGACATTTTTAATAATAATAAATACATAGGTTACTAATTTATAATAATAGAAGTGTTTTGCATTGATATAAAAAAGCCACCACATACAGAATAAAACTGTATATAATTTCTTGAAATTGTAAATGTTATTATTTTTTTCATCAACATATAAATGAATATACATTCTAATATTATGAGCACTATTCTCACATTTTGAAGGGGGGTGGAGTGTTAATTACCTTTCTTAATGCATTTTGTAAGTTGTAATAAAAAAATGAAATCGTGAATTGGGTGGCTGTGATTTCAAAAAAAGAAAGAAAGAGAATGACAAGAAAATCACGCAGGCTTATGAAGAAAGTATGTGAAACGGAAAATCATGCAGGGCAAACATCTTGAAAAACGGGCAACTCAAAAGCATGCTTCGAGATTTGTTGGTTGTACATTAATATGCTATTAAATATATTGGATTCTAAAAACTATGTAAAAATTAATAACAATGACTGACATTGATACGATTGAAAAAAAAAATGATAGAATCATCATTGCGTCTTATTGTGTGAATCGAATTATCATTTTGAATTAAATATATTAGGATCTTTAAAATCATATAAAAATCATTAGTACCACATGGCAGAAAAGCAATCGAAAACCGTATGGATTTATGATACTATCGGGGTAAATTGTGCACTTCAAAAAGTGATTCTTCAAAGTTCCTCAAAATTTGGCTACTGCTATTGAGTAGCCTAACTTTCTTACTACACTACATGTTAAGTAAGCAACAATAAAATTTTTATAAATATATACATTTTTCTCATACATACTTCTCGATCTAAGTTTTCATGGAACCATTCTGATTGAGGATAAAGAGGTTCAGCGGGTATATGATTTTCTAAAAAAAGAAAGGTTATTAATGAAAGTAATACAATATCTATAAAAATTTCTGCCACTATTCCAAACAAACAGCTAAATTTTTTTTTTAAAACTAGGTATAAAAATATCAGAATGCTTTTCCACATTAATAAATTCTAAAACAAATATTAAACAGCAAGTAGAGCTTTTATAAATTTTTCTTATACAGTACTGGTGCACAACTTTTTTGAATAAATGAGCAGGTTGACCAATGATGACAGCAGGTTGACCAATGATGGACTGCATGCTTATTTCGATATGTTAACAGCAAACATAGTAATTTTTATACAAATATTAGTGTTTTTAGTATTAAATTCTTCTCATCAGACTATTTAGTAATATATTTGCAGAAACTTTTATACGTTTGAATTCATCCAAAATTGAGAATTGAAGAAACTTATACCTTTCAAAAACAATATTTCCTTCAAATCAAAAAAGATTTATTAATACAAAAAATAAGTATTGGGGAAAAGTAAAAGAATACCTCAGAATAAAAACTAAATACTATATTGAGCAATAAAAATCTAAATTAAAAATTTATCAGGTTCAAAATGAATTAAATTAAAACAAAATCATTTAAATGTAAAATAATAATCAATATTTAGATTCAAATATACTTCAACTCCAAGACATTTATATTTAACGAATTATTTGAGGTTTTATGAATATTAAATATATTCTTTTTTTTTGTAAAAAAGAAAGAAAAAATATTTCTTAAACCGTAAAAAATATAAAAAACAGCAAACAGAAACAAATTTATGTATTTCTCAATATTTAGAATTTTGCAATAATCATATTAAAAAATTAGGATTTTATGATCCACATGGAGAGAAATGGCACTAACTTTCAATAAATAAATAAATAACTCACACGTCATAATAATATCGTTTTAAAAATTTTGAAATTTTAAAAACTTCGTAGAAATGTGTAGCAATAACTATTGAAAAAATGATTTGGATCTCTGAAGGAACCAATATAAATAAAGCAAGCCAAAAAGGGATTATTTAAATGTGTGATTTGAAACTACTGTGGCGTAATAATATTGTAGTAAAAATAAGGAGAATTTCAGATGGCTACTAAAAAATTACTGGCAACTAAAAAATTAAATTTTACACATAAGAAAAAGTGTACCAAAGGTTAAATCAGAAAACTGTTAAAGACATTTCAGACTTTGAAAAATTACTTTAAATTCTAGAACAAATTCCGTTAAAAAAATTAATATCAAAAGAACTAATACTTAATAAGGCATAACACTCATGGTGATTATTTTTCAAAGCTAGATCCATTGGTGTTTCATTATAGTTGGAACGAGGATGGCATGGACAATTCAAAGATAGTAGTAACTACAACAGGAAAAGAAAAAAAAATAAAGGCTTATATCAGTAAGTTTAAAAAGCATAAATACAATACTAAAACTTGATGATAAAAATATAAAGAAATAAAGCAAGGACTAGGGGGTAAAATAAGATTAGATAAAATACAAGTATTATGTAAAGATATGCAAATACACACTTCCATTTCAAATAAGAAAGTTTGTTGATGTATAATAATTACTGGTTTTTATTGTAAAAATAAAAACCAGTAACAAAGAAACTACTAAAACAAGAAAAAGAAAAAATTATGTAAAAACATGATAAAAACTGCTATAGGTGTAACACACTATAAAAATTACTTTAAAACATACTAATTTTGCATTGTAGTAACTCACTTCTAATAGTTTATTTGGAGAGTCGATAAGTAGACATTTAAAACATTGATGATATTTAATAGTTCTGTAACACTTTTTCAACACAGATTACAAAAATTTCATTAATGCATATGTTACGGGGAATGAGCGAAATCAGTGGTTGTTAACTTTCATCGGTGAATGTTGACAATCACATAGTCGCTTTGGTGAATGTCCAAAATATTTATTACATTCGATTTGATATGAATTTATTCATGGATATAATTACATTTATTCGATATTTTAATACTTACTGACGATAGATCAGAAGAAACATCAGTGTTTGGAGTATCGGGGCATACATTTACATTTGACCGGTATACATTTGCTCGGTATACCCTATACTGATGTTTATTTAAGGTTAAGTGCCACTGCCCAGTATACATTTGCCCGGTATACCCTACACTGATGTTTTTTTAAGGTGAAGTGCCACTGCCCGGTATACCCTACACTGATGTTTTTTTTAAGGTTAAGTGCCACTGCTCGGTATACATTTGACCGGTTACCCTACACTGATGTTTTTTTAAGGTCAAGTGCCATTGCCCGGTATATATTTGCCCGATACTCCAAACACTGATGTTTCTTCTAACCTATCGTCAGTAAGTATTAAAATATACAATAAATATACCAAATAAATATAATAATATCAACGAATAAATTAATATAAAATTGGATATAACAAATATTTCGGACATTCACCAAAGCGACTATGTGATTGTTGACATTCACCGGTGAGAGTCGACATTCTCCAGATTTCGGTCACAGTATTAAGATATACACAGTATTAAATGAAATTAAAAATACTTTGAATTGATTAAAAAAAAAATACTCACCAATCATATAGATTCTTTGTTTTTAGTATTTAAATTTAAAATTATATCAAAATTGATGTAAAAAAAAAACAATTTGCAAAAAAATAAATAAGTAATATACTTAAAAAAAAACTTTCAAAACAAAAAAAAACACTTAACAATTTGCTTATATTGTTGTGATTATTTTCCACTTAATACAACAGCAAACAAATTATATTTGAGACTACTTTAAACCATTTATTAAGGTTAAAAAGCAAGAACAGTTTCAACAAAATAGCTACAATTTAGTTTAAATGAGAGAGGAAAAAGTATTGAGAGTGCTACTGAGTGACTAAGAACACTCTGAATTTACAAATAAACTGATGTTAATCCTTTCTTTTTTGTTATGCATTTGATTTAATGATTAGCCATCTTATAATGCCCCCTTAGAATTAAAAAAAATTCGAATGCAAATTTTTTTTTTTTTAAAAATTTTCTATTTTTTTTTATTGATTCACTTTTTCAGTTATTTAAATTATGCATTAAAACTCAACACTGATATTAATACTTACTATAAAATAATGGATATTTCTATAATAAACTAATTTTCAGCAGGATAAAAAACAAACTAGGTACACAAATTCAAGCTTAAGAAATAAACAAAATTATTCACCTTAACTACACCAGAGTATCCTTTATCTGCTGCATAATGCAATGGCACCCAACCAGATCCGGAAGCTCGCACTTGAGGGTTTGCATCATATTTTATTAGAACAGACATAGTAGATGGTAAATTATTCTGTGCAGCATACTAGAAAACAATGATAGATATTAAAATTAATATAAAAATATCATAAAACACTTATAATCATTCTTGTTATATTTATAAATATATGAATATACTGTGTTACCAATCTATTTTAGCTTAATCTTATGAGTTTTAATTAGATTTTTTCCCACAAAATACTGTTCTAAAGTTAGAAAACTTAAATAAATTACAAAACTTTAAATAACTAAAAGTTGTAAAACTTTTAGTTTTTAAAAAAATTATTAGAAAATTATAATTAACTTTAATGTTATTAACTCAGTAAAACCTTAATTGTGTATGTTTAAAAATACTACAAACATGTCTAAACCAGTAATCGGAAAAATTTAAAAGGAAAATTTGGAAACAAAAAGCACAAAATTACTTCACTTAAGTACTTTAAAAAATATCTGATAACAAAAATAAATAAACATTAAAAATCAATAAAAATTGAAAGTTTTTGAATCAGTATAAATTGAAAAGTTCCTAATACTTTTGTGTTAGACATATTAACGTATGTGTTCCAAAATTAACATTAATACATTTGTTCAATATTAAAATTAAATGTCTTGCTAACAGAATAATTTAACAGGTATAATAATTAAGTAAATTAACTTTTATTCATTGAACTACAACCATACATTATACATAATAATCTATAAAACCCAACAAAATGGGAAAATAATAACAATAATAATAAGCTAAATATTGCAGTGTAAACTAAATTTAGATAAAAGTAAAATAAAATTGGCAAAAATAAAACAAACATTATATGATAAAAAAAAAATTCTCATATAACAATTACCATTAGATAAGTACCAAAAAAATGATAAAATGTTTATCGGTATCTTACACTTAGACAGAAAATTTCCATATGAAATTAAAATTACAGATTATTGGAAATTACATGCCTAGAAACTTAATATCAAAGAAATCTTACAAAATGGTAAAATCAAATGCTTTAGGTAAAAATTAGTTAAATACCTAAGTTTTGCTAAATGTTATACACAATCTCTATAAATTTTCTTTTGCAAAATTTATTATAAAACAATATGACCCTTGAACTATTATGAGTTCAACTTATATGCATAAACCAAAATAAAATGTGAATAAAACTAAATAAAAACAAAAAATTTACACACATGTAACGGAGTTAATCCATTGCCATCTAAAATGCTGGGATTTGCTCCTACATTCAAAAGAACCTCTAATATATCATCAAAACCCATGATACTGGCTAAATGAACTGATGTCTGTCCTTCTTGATTTTTTGCATCTAAATTATGATAACCCGACTTCACAAGTTCTCGAACTACAGTCACTTCCCCTTAAAAAGAAAATAACAACATTCTATTAAAAATATTAAAAAAATAATAAATAAAAAAACTATTTCTTTAAATAAGATTTTAAAAAGTTTCATAACATATCAAGAGTTCTTGAATCTATTATTGAATTCATAAAGTGGCATAAGTAATCTGCGATTCTGCATGACTTAACTATAGGTTTTTAGGACTTCAAAATTTTAGGGTCGCTTTTCACTAAAAAGTCGAACTCTTTATTTATCTGTTAATTTGCACATTCATAATTCTGTTAATTTGCACATTCTATCTATTGCTAGATAAAACAATGAATTTCCCTTCAAGGCTTTTTATTAGGACTCATCAAACACCTTCATCAAGACGAAAAAACAAGGATGTAATATGGAACTCAGAATTATTCTAATCTTCTCCTTTAGCTGCTAATAAAGAAAAAAATTGAGACCAATGAAATGATTGTGACAATGTAGTCGACATTGAGCACAGGCAGTCTTTAGTACCCAAGCAAGCTGATACTCGTACGTCTGAAGCTGGGTGCTTTTCTAGCTGTAAATGGGAATCAAACTTCATTTCTTCATAATGACAGTTTAATGCCAAAACCACTGAGTTATTGTGGCTCAAAGCAAATAAGTAGCATCTGTAAATTAATATAGCAAGGTGGCAATACACAAATAATCTGTAATTATCGTTTGCTTTTTGTTTTTTTAGAAAAACTGATCAAATATATTTAACATAATACTAATCAAGTTTATTTCATAGCTCCATATTTGTCGAATTTGGAGATCTCAAAAAAAAAAAAAAAAAAAAAAATTNAAAAAAAAAAAAAAAAAAAAAAAAAAAACTTGTATAGTAAAATAAAGTGAAAGTAAAAAAAGTAGTAAAAATAAAATGGAATACAACTACCTAAACATTTTCCTGTCAATGATCTTTATTTTCACTAAACTGTGAACAGTTATTAAAAAAATAAAAATAAAAAACATGAGGAAAACATATGGTACAGCATTTATAAGTCCTTCTAATACCTATTACATAGCAAATCTTGCAACATCTTTCTAATAAAACTTTCTAATCCCCTGTCTTTTATTTTAATAAAAATAAAAGACATGGGAATTTTTGTGAAGATAGCAGATAAAACTCTCTTTCATATTGAACTAGATTATAATCAACTATCTCCCTACTTGGCGATAAAAAAAAATCAAAAATGGGTGCATACTGAATACAAATCTGTATCAAAAACTTGTATTGTTACTTTAATTAAACATATGGAAATGAGATTTAATAACACATACCTTCTTTAGTAGCCCTGTGAAGAAGGTTAGTTCGGCCATGCCTTCTCGAATCGGAAGGGGGAGGCTGGCCCTTGCACATTTGTCCCAATTTAGTGGAAAGCCCTACAGCATCTTCTTGATAATAGGAAATTAACATTTCCAGTCCTGTAAAATATAAGTAAAAAAATAAAAACTAATTAATTATTCATGATACAACTAAGTGAAATTATCTTTCAGAAATCAGTAAAACATTAAATCAAATAAAAAATCCTTTGAGAAAACTTTAGATTTGAAATACTGATATACTTAGATGAGAAAAAAAAAAATAAATTAATAATTAAAAAATAATTAAAAATAAAAATAANAACTAATTAATTATTCATGATACAACTAAGTGAAATTATCTTTCAGAAATCAGTAAAACATTAAATCAAATAAAAAATCCTTTGAGAAAACTTTAGATTTGAAATACTGATATACTTAGATGAATTAACATTATTTTTAAAAAAAATAAAAAAAAAATTTAGAAGCACTAGTCTTCTTATGTGCATCTAAATTGTTCAACTTTATGTGAATTCACATTCCCCCCCCCTCCTATTTTATAAGCAAATTATAACAATTCCAACAGCATCAGCAAATTGTACTGTCCTAATTGCATTTTATACTTTAAATTTTAATATTAAAAAAATTAGCTTACCATGAACAATAGGACCTCCATCAATGCTGAAAAATGCATCCCCTCCATGACGTCTAATTTGATAATGAACAGGCTCTTTATTATATACAAGACTTAAAACATAATCACCGGGAGAAGAGGAACTTTCTCTTACAAGAAACAAGCCATCAATGTTACCATCTAAAATGCGTACATGTGATATAAGAAATATAAAACTGATATTTGAACAAAAATTATTGTTGCATGCAAACCTCTAACCAGGGACAGGACCATAATAGACGACCAGACCTTCCCATAAATCCATTTACAACAGTCTCTTCAAAAGATTCAGTTCAATTTTTTACAATTTATATTTTGTTATTTTAGTACTAATTTTTTATATAATTTTTTTTTAACAAACGATTCTATAAGGCGTCATGTTTTAATTAGTTAAGAATTTTAAATTCGTTTTTATAAGAAATATTAAGATCTATCAAAATACTTTTTGGAATCAGTACAACAGTTTGCAATTGATAACAAAAAAAGGGACTTTACGCTTTTGTGAAACTGTGTCATTTGTTTCTGTAATGTTAACTAACTAACAAATATATGAAAATAAAAGTTTTTTTAAGAATTTAGTTATTTATTTATTTATTTATTTTTGCATATTATTCCACATGTAAAAAATAAAGTGTAGAATACTTCAGCCAAAAAAAGGAAAGAAAAAAACAAAAGTAGCTCTTGAAAAATAGATAAATATTAAAAATATGATACAGTATATAGTGACTGAAAATCAGAAATTGTTGCATTGGGAAGGGATTCTGATCACTGCCTAAAACAATTTTCTGGCATTTAGTTAACGCTAATAATTAAGAAAAATGAGCAATAACTATAATAAGTTTAAATTTTGAGGAGAATTAAAAGAAGGAAAACAAATAAAACAGATTAGATCATTAGCAGATTAAATGTTAAATCAAGTGTATTTTATCATAATGTATTTAAAATTTAATAGACTTGAATTCCATAACATACTTGCTAATAAGATTCTTTCAGCCTCATCTCTCAATATTTTACCATGAAACCAAGAAACTCCTTCATCAATAGAATTGCGAGATGCGGACTTTACTAACGGAGGCAATGGGTGAGTTAAGGTATCTTCAGCATCCATTTTTGTAATAAGAGAATTATATTTATTTTCATATTTATACACTACAGCTGAAAGAAGAAGAGTAAAAATTAGTTTTTATTTTCAAACTAACGAGAAAAAAACTTTTAATAGGACTCAAAACAATTATAAAGAAAATATTTTAGGAAAAAAAATTCAATTAAAAAAAATAATAACTGGATTATAAGTTAATGTACAATAAGGAATCACTCTTTAACCAGGATTAATTAAAATCTTGTTTTTTTTCTCCTTCAAAAGCATTTTCAAAAATTTTATTTGAATTGAATAACATTTTTTTCTTCATATCAGATTTTTTTCTTACTTTTATAAATTTAAGTTGTAGTAAAATTTATTCACGATACTTTATTATTTAAAGAAAGATTTGAGAGTCAGGCAAGGTTAGATACTTTAAATTTTTGATTTTGTATAAATGTTCAAAATATGTTCTTTATCCGAAATTGTTCAATTTTTTTTTTTTTTTTATTTAAGAAAATTTATCTTTCTCAGAGGTTTTGGGACCAAAACTGAAGATCCTTTAGAATTTTAGGACAAACACATCAATTTACATGTAGCAATACTTTTTATGGAGCAAGTGAACCCCAGCACCTCAGGACTAATAAAGGCTTTGTGTTCGACTTCCACACTAACATTTAGACATAAATATTTTATAATTGACCTTAAAGTAGCAAAAATTGAAGTTTGCACAGGTATAAGGAATATTAACTGCCTTCATCTAAACCTAAGTGAATAAGAATGAAATTTGCTAGAATAGAAGCCGTAATATAGCAAAAACAATTCACAGATCTATGTTAATTAAAGTTTTATAAATAAGGTCCTAGACGCTATAGTTTGCTCTTGAGGAGCAATTGTTCTCAGTATTACTAGGGAACTGTTGCAGGGTGCGTAGCCAAATCTTTCAAGAGAAAATAAGCACCTTTTAAGCAATCAAAAAAATTTTTTAAGCATTATATACATTAACAAAAGGCAAAATAATTTTCAGACCTTAGATGATCATGATAAAATAAGTAGCTTTTGACAAATAACTTTTTTCTTGGTTATATTAGCCGTTATAAAATGATTGAGAGATTTTTCGGTTCGATAGCAGAGAGTGGAAAATGAGGTCTGAAATTGAGAATATCTTGCAAAATGCAACAGAGTTGCATATGAGAAGGTTATAATCTCACCAAACCTAGCTCAGTAGACACACATACGGACTTGCAAGTATTTCATCAAACATGTAAAATGATTGGCGCTTTTATACGCTATAGATCGACGGTACACCGAAATGAATTGTGAAAACGTTGACTAGAACAATGTGAAAAGCACGCTTTTGAATGAAACGTGGCGAAAATCGACATGGTAAAAAAAACTAGTTTTTGAAAAGGGAAATTAAGCACTTTTTAAAAACACCCAATGATAAAAGCACCTTTAAGGGCTTTTAAATAACGAAAATTGAAAATAAGCACGTTTAAGCACTTTTTAAAAATGCTACGCACCCTGTGTTGCTTTACAAAATCATTATTGGTCCAAAAAGAATACTTGAAGCTCACATTCTACCCCAAGGTGAGTTTTAGTGCCCAGCTAGATCTTATGGAGATAGGGTGCAAAACTTAAACTTTGCTATTTATAAAAGAGATAAAATGTTATGGTTTTACTTTTTAAGCTGAATCAAATAAATTTGGCTTCAAATAAAGCATGAAATCTTTTGAAGATGCTTTATTTCCCTATTTAGACTTGACTGATACTTTTCCAAAACATTATATCTCTATTTTCTTTTACTTTATTAAGGAGAGAAGAAATAAGAAATCCTGCTTTATTGTTTTCAAGATATTGCTCAATGTGCCCAAACATAACTTCAAATTGGAAATATTATACCAGAATTTGAAATATTATACCATTACATTAAAAAAAAATAATAATAATAATAAAAATTTATCATAGATTTTACTTAAGTTTTTTTTAAAATTTTTAACATAATATATGAATTAATTTGAAAGGAAATAATAAAAATATTATTTTTATTTCAATAATTAGTTTTAAATCATTGTTGTCATCCTGATTGATAAGAATTTGGGGAGATTTCCATATCATGATTAGTGGTAGAATAATCTCCAAGTATTGGCAACTTCTGGGTAGCGGCCCGTGAGAAACTAAAAAAACATTACAGAAAGGGACCTGCTTAAAAGTTATCCTAACTCATACATACCCCAGACAAACATCTACATATATTTTTAAAAAAAAAATTGAAAATCTATTCGGCACCTTGGCAACTGTTGTTGGAGAGACAAATCATGATACTTAATTATGCCCCAGAAGTTGAGCGATAATATTCCATAACCCTGCTCAGCAGTTTTATTTAAAAATATTTTTATTTTTTACAGAATGCTGTGCATAATAGCATTAGTATCATATATCATAACAAATGTTTTTTACACAAATCAATCACATTCCTCATTGGTCTTAAATACTTGTGAAATAATAAAATAGGGATAGCTAAAACCAACACTGGTAAAAAAAAAAAATTAAACACTAATTTGATTAAAGAAAATAAAAACTTACAAGAGATTAACAAGCAATTTGCTTTTCTTCCAGAGAAAATAAGAATTCATCTTTTCAAATTAGCGATCCGACAACATTTGTGTTAAAAAAACTTCAACCTTTTTCTTTAAGTTTATCTTTTAAACTAGGAAATATTAAATGTTGCTTCTTTGAAACGATTTAAATTATTACATAATTTCAATATGTAGCAAACTTATAATTATATAGTAAAATCATTACATATGTGGTTGGCATATAATATAAAAATATGTGATTCATAGAAATGAATTAAGAATTTGCCATGATTTTAAGTTAGTTAATAAAACGGTATTCCAAACACCGACAAACATGCAGCTAAAACTTATTTTAAGAAGATCATTTGATGAAGATTTCATAAAATGCAAAAATGATAAAAAGAAAACAATTGATTGATATAACTGAGAATTAAAAAATGGTATTTAATACATAAACTATTTTATAAAATATTCGACAAATTAGTTTCGCAGGGAATGAAAACAAATCATACAAATAACACACAAGCATCACACAAGAAAGATTGCAAAATATTTTGATCGGAACTTAAAAGTGATGCCAAACAATTATGAAAAAGTTCTACTTACAGCTGTTTTATTTATCAATGACATCATTGCTTATGAACTGAAGAACTGTTCTCACTAAATGTAACATGAAATGTAGATGCGATTTAGTACGTGAGTAGTGAGATATATTTAAGAGTTATTCCATCTGAATTCGATTCACACATCTATAAAAGCAGTCGAAGAAATATAGTAACCTAATATATGAATCGTATTTTCCAACGAAAAACTTACCAATCCCGTTCTTTTACTGTCTCAACGACAATCAAAGGTGCAGCAATCACATACAGTTTAAATGGTTTTTTAAGCCTTTTTTTAGGGCCAATATTGCTGAATCCGTTTCATGCACTTAAATCGCCGTTGAGGGTCGATGAGAATCTTATGGGCCCTCTAAACTCTCGAATACGCCATTTAAGGAGAAGACCAGTTCCATGCCTTTGGCCCTTCAATCTGCTATAAATATTTTTTTTCAATTTCCATGACGCTTCCTTTTAGAAATATAAANGTGTAAAAAAATATACTTCAGGCTGAAACATATATACCTCTGGAGGTATATTTAAGGTATATTTGAGGTTGATTTTGAGGTATTCATTTGCACCCTTTTCAACCTTTACGACGTATTTAAACAACAACCTCCTTTATACCTTTAAAATATACCTCGTTTATACCTAATTTATACCTCAATTTTTTTATAAGGGTATTTTTAAGCTCCGTATAAAATCCTAGCTTATAAGATTTCAATCTATTTAAAAATCAAGATGGAAACTAACGTACTTCCTTCTTCTATGACTCTCCACACGCTAAAGATGAAAGCATGCAAAGTGGTGCCAGAGGTAGAGAGTTCTGCTCTACACCACCTGTAGCCCATTTCGAACGCCAATTGGTAAAAGCACGTCTAGGACTATCAGAGGCGTATCTAGAGAAAAAGGCGTCTATGGCAATCCTCCTTTCGGCGATCTTCTTAAAACATTTTTCTTCTCTATTATTTTACGTATATCTGTACACATCAGCATATAAATGTATACAGATTTTAGATTTGTTTCACATTTTTTCTCCTTTTTTAGGACAAAATTTTGCTTTAAATCTTATTGCAGAGTTGGAGTTATTCAAAAGAATCAAATATTTAATAAAAAGTTTGTGTATTTCAATTAAAACTACTTCGCTTTAACTCCAGCTTGTTCATTTTAAGCACATAAGTCCGAAATTGGCTAAAACCCATCAAGTAAATTAGAAAAAGAATTACCTTTGCTTATCCTAATTATCAGTACTATCAGATAATCATGTACAGTTACAATTTCAACGGTTTGAATATCTTTTAAATTAAATTACAAAATATTTCGAAGAAATTCTAAGTTACTTTATTTTTATTTAAAACTATAGAAATATGCTAAAAAATTAGTGCATGCAATAGTATGAGCTATAAAATTGAATATAGAAACGTACTACCCCTTAATAAACATGTCATTCACTTTTCACCGAATTTAGGTTTTTGACCTTCAGAATATTCCTCAGAAGTTTGTTAAAGATAAGAAAACAAGTTGAAATTTTGGGCATCTTCATGATGCTCCTCCCCCTATTATATTTCCTTATCTTATATTTCCTTATCTTATATTGCCCCTAATATATTTAATATGAGTAACATGGAATATTATTTTTATGTAAAGAAACAAAAATGTAACAATAGTTCAATAATAGCTAGAAAACTCATTTAGAAAAATCTGCACAAATATGAAAATGTTAAAAACTTTATTTGTTTATTGCTTTATTGAAATTACATACATTTGCAGGCGTGAGCTGAATTTAGGCTTATAAGCCTTTGTCAAGTAGAAAGACAGATAGAACAATTCAGCGAAGGACATCAGGAAGAATACATCCAGGGCTATGGCGGGATTCGAACCTGCTACCTCCACGCTTTGCACAGCGTTTGGCGGGTGATACCACTCGGCCATAAAGGCTCCAATGCCAAAAACACACATTAATCTCTTCTGTTCATATTCGTCTCACAATTTTCACGTCCCGCAGTGGACTGATCGTTAAGACACGGTTCCCAGCAGATCGCAGAAGTCAAGCATCACTGGCTGCGGTCAGTGTGCGGGTGGGTGACCACTCGGATCAGCCTGCGTAGGGACCGAGGGTGTGCGGTATTGGTCCTCGTTAAACTGTTTTACCGTAAAGCAGGTCGCGCGCAGGTCGTCGGGCTACCGAAGCGGGGGAGCCATCCCCTCCGCAGAGGATCAAAATTGTGATGGAATGTCTTCGGATCATCCTCAGGGATGTTTCCCAGACCGTCGCCAATAGCCCATTGTGCAGCTCTAGTGCGACGTACATGAACAACAACAACACAATTTTCACACATTTCATAAAATAAATAAATAAATAAATAAATAAATAAATAAAAAACTTTATTTCTAAGAAGATTCTAATTTAAATGTTGATGTTGTTGTTGTTGTTATTTTACGTCGCACTAGAGCTGCACAATGGGCTATTGGCGACGGTCTGGGAAACATCCCGGAGGATGATCCGAAGACATGCCATCCCAATTTTGATCCTCTGCGGAGGGGATGGCACCCCCGCTTCGGTAGCCCGACGACCTGCGCGCGAAGTCGAGCACTTTACGGTAGCGCAGTTTAACGAGGACCAATACCGCACACCCTCGGTCCCTACGCAGACTGATCCAAGTGGTCACCCACCCGCACACTGACCGCAGCCAGTGATGCTTGACTTCGGTGATCTGCTGGGAACCGTGTCTTAACGATCAGTCCACTGCGGGACTTTAAATGTTGAATTCAAAATAGAAGTCAGAACAAATTTAATTCAAAATAAAAGGAAAACGTGTATTCTCTAACTAAACAGATTCTAAATTGAATATTGAATTCAAATTATGAGAAAAAACTAATGCAGTTTCAAATCGAGACAGGGTAGCCTTACCCACCATCATTTGATCCATTTTTATACTCCATTCTCTTTTGTTTAAAACTTAAATCCACTATCTTTACATCGGTACTCGAAACCACTCTCCTTTAATCGGTGTTTAAATCCACTATCATTTGATCAATTTTTATAATCAACTCTAATTTGTTTAAAACTTGAACCTACTATCTTTATATCGGTACTAGAACCCCACCATTTCTGCCATTTATATTATGTCTTCAATACTTTCCTGCTCTCTTTTCTTTTAAACCATAATAATATCCCATTGAAGCCCCCCTCCCCTTATTGTTCTATAATTATTTCCTTTGGTACGATTGTATAGTATATCCTTATGTAATACCCGGCTGAGGTAGAAAATTATAGGTTAATATTAAGGAGAGATATAAGGTCATTTATATGCATAGCAGCAGCAATTCCTCAATTTTTATCATTTTATTCGCTCTTATAAAAAAAAATAATTTCAGGAAAAAAATATTTATGTTACAATATTTTAAATAGATATTAAAAAAGCACTTATTTTTATGATTTATTATTTTTTAAAATACTGACCATTATCCGGGATCGAACCCCTGACCCTTCGGTTAACCAGTTCATTGCTTCCTAATACATAAGACTCATGTCCACGCAGTACACGACTTCGCCACTTATATTATGCCTTATAGGAGCTAATAATAGTTCAAATATGGATACCTTTCGGCTCCTACGTTATGCATATAAATGACCTCCGATCTCCCATTAATATTAACCTTTAATTTTCAAACTGGACCAGAAATTATAGTTTAATATACTAAATAATCGTACCAAGGGAATTTTTAATAGGCAAATTAATTTAATAGGCAAATTAGCAAATTAAGCTGCGTGCTAAGAAGCAAAGAAAGTCGTAGATGAAGGGGTCCGTAATTCGATCCTGGGCAAGGGTTAAATCTTTTAAAAAAAAGTTTCTTTCTTTTAATTTATTCTTCATTAGTTTAACGTAAATAAAGTATTCTTTTTCCAAAAATTATTATTTTTCTTTTTATAAGAGCGAATTATAGTTAAAAATGGATAAATTTCGGCTCCTACGTTATGCATATAAATGATCCCATATCTCACCTTAATAGTTTCCAATATTTTAGCGTAAATAAAGTATTACTCTTCCTTAAATTATTAATTTTCCTTTTTACAAATGCGAATATTAACTTAAAAATGGAGAAATTGTATCTCATATACTATGCAAATAAATGAACCCATATTTCCCCTTAATATTAACCTATAATTTTAAAACTCGACCGGATATTATATTATAGTATACTATACAATCGTATCAAAGGAAATAATTATCGCCAAATTGGGGGGCAAACGAGAGATCAAAATATGGTTTCATTGGAAAAGCAAGGGGAAGGTACTTAAAAGTGGCATGGCCATTACTGCTACATGATATGAAGCAACAAATCAGCAGACCCAAGGGTTCGGGGGTTGAACACGGTTAAAGGTCAATAGTTTAAAAATTATATTTCATCTTTTTTTAAAATAATTTTAAAAATTATAACGTAAATAAAATATTCCTTTTCCTCAAATTATTATTTTTCTTCCATATGAGAGCGAAAAATAGCTTAAAAATGGAGAATTTGTAGCTCATATACATGACCCTATGCATATAAATGACCCTATATCTCCCCTTAGGAAAAACCAATAATTTTCAAACTCTTCTAAACATTATACTATAACATAATGTACCAAAGAAAATAATTCGAGAAAAATTAGGGGGCCCACGAGGGGTCAAAATATGGTTTCATTGGAAAAGCGCGGGAGAGTACTTAAAGGTTAATATCAGTGGCAAAGCCGTGTGTGGCGTGGCCATTAGTGTTACGTGTGGCGTGGCCATTAGCAACGTGTGGCGTGGCCATTAGCAACGAGTTAGTAGATTTAAGGGTTCGGGGATCGAACCCGTCTAAGGTTCAATATTTTTAAAATTATATTTAATAAAAATAAAAAATTTTTTTTATATTTATTTATTTTACAATATTTCAACGTAAATAAATGTTCCTTTTCCTTAAATTATTATTTTTCTTT